TGCTGCTGCTGATCATTATTATTATTTAAGTGATGATTATTCTTATTTTTGATAACGCTGATTCTTATTATGTTTTTTTTATTGATTATTATTATTATTGTCCTGATTATTATTTTTTTTATTATTTAAGTGATGATTATTTTTATTTAGATTATGCTGATTCTTATTATTTTGCTGTCCCGGCAAGCGTTGTTTTGCCATATAAATTATTTTCAGGGAATCTATAGTCTAGAAAAAAAATAACTAACTTATTGTAAGTGTTTAAGGATGTGGTAAATTAGTGAAAGAGGCATGGAGCGCTGTGAACGATTAGGGAATATAAAAATAACAAAAAGCAAACATTATTTTTAAGTTATTATAATTTATTCCTTAAAAATATCAATCTCTTAATGCTATAGCGTGAACAATATTTTTTGTTAGTCCATCTTTAGTTAACATAAACAAACTGGATGGTTTACCCACTCGAGAGCATGCCACGTATAATTGTCCGTGTGAAAAACATGGTGTTCTCAAATCTAAGCCACAAATAGACATCGTTTGACCTTGGGATTTGTTGATTGTCATTGCAAATGCCAATCTAATCGGAAACTGAATACGTTTGAATTGAATTGGCACATCTGTAGGTATAATAGGAATCCGTGGTATTAATATATTTTCACCTCGGAACTTGCCATTTAAAATGCTGGCTTCGATCACGTTTTTCATTCATTTTTGAATGACTAATCGCGTACCGTTGCACAGCCGGGGTGGGTTCAAATTACGAAGCAAGATAATCGCAGATCCAACCTTTAATTGTAAATTATGCGGTGGCATGCCTGGTAAATCCAGTGAGTTCAAAAACTCTGTGGGAAAATTTACTGCTTCGCTGTCGTCGCAAACTGTATCAATAGATTTATTTGATACCAAGTTCCCTGGCAACAACATTTGTATCTTCAGATTTAAATTGTCAACGTCTACATTTTTTGTCGCTAAAATTGCTCTTTCTGCAAGCAACTCATGATTTATGTACTGTGTGTGTACATCGGGAAATATTTGTTCAATGAGAGTATCTTGCGAATCAGCGATTGTGCAGAAATCGGTCGGTAATTTTACGTATCCAGTTTCATCTATAGCAACTTTTCCATCACCGATATCTAAGAGTTGTTTTGAAAATGTTTCAGCGGATGGATCTTAAAGCATTTGAACGCGCATATTTACTTTCAGCTGTACTTTTTCAACATTACGCCACAATGGAGATGATTTTAAGCAAGCGTTGATCTCATCAGCGTATGTTGAACGTGGAATGACTGGAAGTGTTTGCCTGAAATCACCTGAAAGGACCAACAGAGTTCCGCCAAATAGATTGTCGTTGTTTTTAATATCTTTCAATGTCCTGTTCAACGCCTCAAGCGAATGTTTGTGTGCCATAGTACATTCATCCCAGATGATAATTTTACACTGTTTCAGCACGGTGGCCATGGACGATTGTTTCTTAATGTTGCATACTGCGTCAGGGTTATTCTGAATATTTAGTGGCAGCTTAAATACTGAATGAGCTGTTCTGCCTCTATCCAATAAAGTTGCTGCAATGTCCGATGATGCAACGGCCAATGCGGTGCCATTATTTGATCGTATTTCAGCAAGAATTAGCGAAATAACGAATGTTTTGCCAGTTCCACCCGGTGCATCCAAAAAGAAGAACCCACCTTGTCCAGCTGAAACTGCGAGCATTATGCGATCATAAACGGTTCTTTGTTCCTCATTCATTAGTGGGACATTGCGGGCAACAATCGCTGCAATTTCTACAGTGCTGTACTGCAGTTCACGATTCATTTCAGTATTCATTAAATCAGATTCAGTTCGATTTGGCGAATTCATACCGAAATGACTGAGTGGTAAGTTAGCAATGACAATGCAAAGATCCTCAATAGCAATTAATGCTTCATTGTACATTGCGTCGCTGAATGTTATGGTTAGATCGTGGCACCGTGTACGATGTTGATGCAATATATCATCAGTCATTGAATCTTTGTGATTATCCCACAATATCTGTGCTCGGGCTGGGAAACATGTAGTCAACACTATAGCGAATAGTAGACGAATTTGTATTGCTGTACAGTTCAATGCAGCTTCAGCAAGCATACATTCCCACTGGTTGTCGTCTTCCAGCAAGCCGAGTGCAAGGCATGCATCTTTATACGTTGGATAGTGTTGCCCATTCACTTTACGTATATCTTGAAATGATAATGGGCCAGTAACATTAACCAACAACAGTCGAAGATAAAAGCACTCAGTGTGTCTTGGATTGACTGTAAATAATCGCCCCAAGGCGTTTGATTTGAATAAATTGGGACATGCATCAACTGGTGAGCCTTGCTTGCGAGGCATCCATTTTTTTGTTTGAGCCCATGTGAAATAGCGTGGTACTTGTGAATAGGGTAATGTTCGGGCAAAGGCACCAAAATCATCCGCACGATTACACAATTCAAAAAAATCAGTGAGTGTAGTTTTTGGTGGATTTATAGCACGATCAATCGCTGTCTCGTTCGTGAAAAATACACGCTGACCGTTTTCAAGATGGACAGCTAACTGAACAACTGCTGGATCCCGTTCATGAATAGAAAAACCAAAGATACGCCAGGCAGCTTCATTAGAGCTGATGTACCGACCAATTTGGTAGAGCGTTATTTCATCGTTTTTATTCACTGGAGGAGCATTCACATTGGTATTTTCCACTCTAAACACAGCCATATCACTGCCTTTATGGACATACTTGCAAATATATTTGATACTCTTCACAGAATTGCAGAACTCAACATTAATATGAGCATTGAATGTCTTACTTAGCAGAGGCGAATATAGCACAACCCAACGATTGTCAATGTCAATGTCTGTGTTGCTGATGTTTTTAATAAATGATCGTCCGCCATTATTGGAATTTCTTCGACGATATATTGGATATCCGTCAACATTTGTGACCGTATCGTTAGTGAAATCTTTAGGGAAATTTTTAGTACATTTTCCATCTGCCATACAAGGCGATGAACGATTAAGAGTATCGCATGGGCCATGAATCATGTTTGCTGTAACAATATCAAACAGCAGTTGGTCAATAGACGGATCTGGAATTTCCGCAGAAATGATACTATCGATTTCTTCAGGACGAATTTTGTCGATTAACCAAACCAAAATGTGTGCATGAGGTAATCCTAGCTTTTGCCACTCAACCGAATACAGCCAGCAACGTGTGGGATCGAATACATGTAATTTATTAATGAAACTTATTAAAGACTTCAACTTTTGTCTGAACACACGTGCTGTAATGCCATGGCGATGTATTGCATTTTGGCCAAGCAATAGCAAAGATGCAATCTCTGGCCATTTTGGATTACATGTGAACGTGATAAATTAACATGGTCGTCCATATTCGCGTACGAAAGTCAGAGCATCCTGTATATATTCTTGCATATGACGTGGACTGCCTACGTACGATGATGGTAAAATGACATGGTTACCAATTTCGGTGACGTCGGCATTGTTGTTGATAGCGTCTCGCAAATGAATGTACTCTTCCACACGCAGCTTTAGTTGATTATATCGTAAGTATCGTAGTCGTCCGCCCTCAATCTTCGCGTACATGTCGACCATGAATTGTTGACAAAGCTCACGAAATCGTAGAATGACGTTGTCCAGGCCGCGTCTAATCATTAATCGGTACGTATAATAATCCTTTGAGCTAACTTTCTTGTTTGTTTCAGCTCCTGTAATAATATATTCATAAAAATTAATTAAAATGAATTACGTTCAATAATTTAATTGTTTTTTTAAATGATTAATGATCAAATTCATAATCAATGAAGTACCTGATACGGGATCTCGTTGTTTTATGTTAATGCAATATCCGTCTTGTCCCTTCCAGAATATTAGCGGATATTGGAGAGCGTCATATGAACGATGTGTATCAGCAATGAACTGAAGATTATTATTTCTTCTACGAATCACAATTTCTCGTGCACCTGTACGATCGCCAACCATGATTCCAGCAACATCATCAACAACGGGTGCATTGAATCTACGAATATGCTCTCCAGCTGGTGTTTTATCAGGATTAATGACGATAGCGTGATTATCGCTTTGTAATTTGTGCATGTGTGATTTGAATATTTTCAACAATTCGTTGTGCTCATTCAATAAAGCATCCAGCTCGCTGACGATGCGTCTGGCATANTGGCAAAATAATAATTGTTGAATATCGTGCGTGCTAGTATACTTTGACTTAAGAGGCCATAACTCCGGAACCACTTATCGCAGAGCATACAAACTTAGATAGTAGCCGATTCTCAGACCTACTGAATATGCATATAAAATTTCATGAGAATCAATCAAGCCGTCTCGGAGGAGTATGGGAACGAACATTGTGACACGATAATTGTATATATAAGATAAAGCAAATATAGGGTATTTACATATGAAAAAACTGGCAGAGTGCTTAATATATATGTATCAATTTCAACGTCCATAGAGGAACGCTCTTTCAGTACTATGCATAGGATTATGAATAAAATAAAAAATCGAATGGGACAAGAAATATTGTAGTTCTGCATGAAAATTAGTACAGAAGGACTATCAAAACTTAATAAAGATAATGTGAATGAATTTGTCTTATGTCCAACATAGGAACTTTAATAAAATTATTTACGTTTTAGCGAAAAAAATAATGTAATCATTTATTTTTTTTGACTTAAGTAGAATAATTACTAATAAATAAATAAAAATAATTAACAAAGTTTATATAAACGAAAAAGTTCCATATTAAATTCCTAACTTTGAGGAGCAGTGTATTGTTCTTATTAAGTCCTTAATTTTTTTTTCAATCAGTGGAGAATCAGTTTTTCACGTTACTACCCCACTACTGCCATTGTTTATTAATGGGTATAATTAGGAAATTTGTAAAATCTTGTTTTCCCTTCGTGGGGCAGACTTACATTACTAATTAAACTATGATGAGAGGTGATTGGTAAGACCGCATCACAGTAGCTTAATCTTCCTGAGTATTGTTCTTGATGTCCGGATCTGCGAACTATTTCTATGGCTGCTGGTTGGCCCTAGCCTCAGCCTCCGTTATTCTCTCGTCCTGCACCTTGCGGCACAGTATGTCCTCCACTACGCAGTAGAAGGACTGAGATCACTGAGAGATATGCACACTAGGAGTAAAGCAGTGTCAGCTGATATAGTGCGATACGCTCGACGGGCCCTGAGAACTTCAGCCCTCTGCACCCTGATCAGGATGTTAAGGCATTTCACAATCTTGGTCAGATGATCAATCCATATTGGGGTTGCGTAGAAAACAGTCTGCTGCCAACCACCGACATTAGTAATACCTTCTTAGATTGGGAGGGCCCTCCAAGGTTGGCAATAAGAAATCCGATTGGATTGGGGTGCCTGCGAAGCCCTCCCAGAGATCGTTTTTAAACGGCTGCTGAAAGTGAGGTGAAAATTCAGGTGTATTCCAAGATAACGCGGGTTCCTTTTAACTGCAACCGGATGACCACCGGTAAACAAGATAAGGGAGCGAAACGCCCATTTCCTGGTTAATATGATGGTTTCCGTCTACTGATGTGTGAGCTAGAGACCATGGTTCCCAACCTAATCATCTATGGTATCGAGTGTGGGATTGACAGCCTCTTCCAGAGCCTCAAGAGAGCGTACGACGGCGATGAGAGCCAAGTTATCAACGAAGCCAATTAGTCGAACTCCCTCCGGGACGTCGAGCCCCAAGGGGTCGTCGTAAAAGACGTTCTATAAAGTGGGGCCAAGGACGGAGCACTGAGGAACGCTACTCATGATCGGTAGCTGGGCACCCCGAGCCCGTCTACCTTGTGTTACTCAGTGTTTTCTTCACTGCTGGATCTTAAATACACAATTATTGTGTACGTTTTAGTGTATAAAACTATAGACTATATGACAGTGCAGTGGTGTTTCTACGGAGGGGGCATATGGGGATCATATTCCTCCTCGGGTGATTATTTAAAATAATTATTTAATAATTTTATAATCGAATCCGGTGCAGATGCGTACGTCTCATTTGCGTACAGTCTATTCTCAGTGATAATTTGTCTCACTTGCGTACAACGTAACTACACCGAATAACATCAAGTCTCACTAACGTATACACTCATTTCCCTTCACACTTGGTCAGACTTAGGACTGTCAGAACGTTGCTTTGGCAATACTCTGATATGTTTAATAATGAGGGTGCACGTTATTCGTTATAACGTACACAATACGTTGTATAGAGTCCCTGAGTAAAATTAAAAATATTATTGCAAAAATGTAATAATTAAATAACGAATAATTTAATAATTATTCAATGAATAATATACATAATCAATCTAATTTGACGATTATGGTTAATTTTGTGAGGCACTTGACTAAGACATGATTTTCTAAAAACTATTGAAGAATTCGTTCGATTCTCTCGTCCATTTCAAGTATATTTTTTACTTCATTTAATCCCTTCTAAATTGAATTCAGTGCGTAAAAGCCGTCGATCACTTTCCGTTGATGATATCTAGCAGCAGCAAAAATTTCCAATAGTTTACAATATTTGTATTTATATTTTATTGAAACAAAATAAAAGCATTCCAGAGCGCGCGTTGTGTACGCAAATACGACTACGACTACGATTCGTTCGTATTGTTACCTTCAGTAATATTGTGTACGCAAGTGAGACGAAAATCGTCGTGTACCTACGCAAGTGAGACTTACGCATCTGCATCTTGGTCAGAACCAAAACTCACATATTCCAAAAAATAAGAAAATGAGTTAGCAACAATGTTTTATAGGACTTTTATAGATCGAAAGTGAACCCAAAACTGTAATTAAATAAAAAATTAATTAATTTGAAATGACAAAGTTATATTTTTATTCGATGTACAAATTATTTGTACCTAAATTTTATTATAAGAATACAGAATAGTAATTTAATAATCTAATAAATTAGTGAATTCAGATATTTTCATCAGTATTTTTGTTTCATTTTTATCACCTATGTATCAAATGTATTGCACTGTGACGTAGCGTGTCTAGGATCTTTTTTTACGGTGGGGGAGAGATTTACAGACTTTAATAGACATATTCTATGTACACATATATTCATATTATTATAATACAAAATCTAATTTTCTTGAGGACAAAGAAAAGAATGTTAAGTACTTCATCAGATTTGACAGTTATATTTTTGATAATGCAGGATAATTTATTTAAACATTTACCTAATTTGTAGTAATCCTTAAATACGTTTTCTGTCGTTTGAGTTTTGAAAAAGTTCTGTCAGAGGTCACTGTCGAAACGGGTAATGTGCATACAATTTTTAATAATTTATTATTAATGTTAGGAAAATGTATTGAATCATATTGCAAAAATGCTTCAAGACTACTTTTTGGAACTGTTATTGAATCTGACGAGTTTAACTTTACACAAATTTAATTCTGCTGTTAAATTATTGGAATCTACTAATTGCGTATATAATTTTTTTTTTAAATTGTGGAAAGATTCTAATTTATTTTTTGATACTGAAGAATTAATAGAAAATAAACATTAAAAATCTGCAAAATTAATGAACCACTAAACCAAATTTTATATAAAAAAAATAATAATAATAAATAATACACTACATGATAATTCTTATTTTTTTCATTTACATTAATCTCAATCTACAGTGATAAATGTTGAGTGACAAGAACTTTATTTGCATTACCAGTGTAAGACCTAACCATAGGAGTAAAAACATAACCATTTACCGTTCAATAATATTATGTTTTTAAATAAAATTTGTATACGTCAGTTATTTAGCTATACGCCTTTATAAATATCTGTTATATATATTATAATGAAGGCGTATTGTTATTCCTGTGCATCTCGGCGTATTATGGTGACCTGTTTTTTTTTTTTATGGCTACTATAATAACCAGATTAATTATATGCGTGTGCATACGGGTAACGATAATAATATGACATAATTATTATAATTCGTTCTATAGACCTAAATCTATATACCTAATATGTATAATATTTACGCAAAAATGTTAATAATATTTTCGTGCAAACTATAACGTTTTCGTTGACTGTAACATAGGTAATAGGTATATCTACTCTTATAAATCGAAATTTAGAGTAGTAAAGAAATCTAAAAAAAACGGTAGGATACATACATTCGTGACGAAAAGTCCTACATTCATTTTATTGTTAATATGTAAATATTTTATTTTTATTTTTTTTTTCTCAATAGTGCATAGATTATTACTAATAAACATATTTAAAATCTTAAAGCCCATTCCTTGTTATTAGCCCTCCGTCTATTAAAAAAGGGTTTTTGACCTAAGATAAAATGAGATAAAATTAAGGTCGTTAAATTAATCATAGCAATACGCTATTTTGTATCCTTAAATTTGGTTTATCCTAATTGGTTCTCCTTTGGCTAAACCGGTTCCCGTTTGAAAAAAAGGTATTTTATAAAGGTGAACCGTATTGATTCCCGTTTAAATTTACCGTCTACTGGTGTACTGGTTAAATTGGTTCTTACTGTTCGGCATGTAGGGTATGAGCTCAGAAACCAATTCGGATACATCCATTAAATTATTACAAAATAGCGGTAAGTATAACTTTTTTTAATTGAATTTTTACCAAAATTCCTTGTTAAACGTAAAAATTACTTATTATAAAAAGTTTACAAATATTGAACACTAATCAATAAACATCATCAAGTCACCATCTATTAAGTAATTTTTACACATTATACATTTGATTTTAATAAAAATTTAAATAATCTATAAGATAAATTAAGAATTCTGATGCATTCAAATATTTAAATTACCTACTATGAATCGAACCTATTATAATTTAAACCTAATTGTATTTAACCGAATCAATTAATCAAATTATGTCCCTTAACTTTGCTGCTCTTCGACAACAGTCCATTTCGCCAACTTCTAGTTTCGACACTGCTAAACCTTGCCACCGCCGTATTATAGTAGCAAAACGTTTATGAATTTATAGTATGCACGAATTTCAATTTTTTTTTTTTCATTTTTAACCAATAATCTGTGTACTGTATACGACAGTATGTAGGTAAATACACTGCGTCTGTTATTGTAATCAGTTTTCTCGGATATTAAAAATTGAATAAAGCACACGATCGTTTTTCGAAAAGAAATTATTGGGGAATTGAAACCTCTATGTAAATCTTGGTACAGCAGTTTACGTTGTAACTAGTTTTAAGTACTACATAATATAATATTTCTGTACGAAATATAATTCTAGAATCTGGAATGCTTACTCGAAGACGTAACGATGACAGATAATATTATACATATACATAATTGGACATTCGATATAAACATGCTATTTTGACGGCAAACGTTCGCGGTTTCTCTACGGTAGATTTCTTTATAATATATAAAATATTTCAACTGTCCGCTGCATGTTTGCGTGTTGCGTCCTTTCGAAAACTATTATTATTATTATTATTAATCGGAATACTCACGCGTTATAAAAAGTAAGATATATGAGGCAGTCATATATACATAAATTATAAACTAATAAATAGGTTTTAGCCGTAGTCGCTATCGCTTAAATTATATTACTAATAACAAACGGTCTATACATAATATGCCTAATTATTATAATATAATGGTCACCGCGACGCGTACGTAAAACGAGAATGAAACTAAAATTCCGGTCGTTTTCACTCTTCGGCGGCCGCCGCCGGTATAATGTGTATTTATAAAATTAGAAGATTCGTATTTTCTCGTAGCACCTGTTACAGGTATAATAATACACAGTTATACCTACGTAAAATTTAACGCGAACGATTTCCCGCGGCCGGCGCCGTAAACAAGAACTGGTCTTTACTAAACAGATTTAAAATTAAATTTAAATGTGGGCCACGGTCGACGCACTCGTATAAATAATAATATCTACGTGTACGCGTGTAAAAATGTTATAGTATACTTTTAGGTGCGATCACTAGTTCCGTAAAGTCGCGGCGTCTCGACGAAAACAATAACATAACCGTTTGTCAACGTCGAAACTCAACACGATACGGAAAACGATCGTTTGTACTACATTTGTAGTCTTTCGGTTCGATTATTATATTTTGCTATAGGTATTTATTATTATAAAATAACAGACTGTTGAATGCTCAAGCGTGAGCACGCCGCAATGAAATTGAAGACCTGGTGGCAATAACCAGACATTTCCAGTGCAACAACAAAACATGTCCACTTTTTGAAATTTTTCAGGGAAAAGAAAAAATCATCCATCTAAGGAAATAATTTTTTTTTTTTTACTCTGAATTTGGTCAAACCAGACAAGTCTTTATCGCTATTTTTTCGGTATCTAGTAGACGGGCTTGCATCATTGTTTCACCAAATTATATACTTGTACTATTATTCATAGCTTTACTCAAAACTAGCAAAGACATTTTGGACTTTCTTTGTTGTTGCAATGAGCCCTTCAATTTAAACAATTGTACAGAAAAAATAAAAAAACATAATAACCAGATATGTCTTATTATTTGGTTAAAAATTAACCTGACATCTTGGATAATATCTCAGTATTTAAAGATTGGATACATCTGATTGTTGCACCAATCGAAGAATTTCTTATTATTTTTTTTTTTCAATAATGTAAGTTGAAAAACTAATTTCCGCTAAAATATAGAGATGTTTGTTTATTTCCGCCAGAATTTCAATTAATATAGTCATTAAAAATCCGACTTCCAGTTATTAAATCTCTCCTGAGTCTAAGTAATAATGGGCAAATCAAAAATGGCCAGATAAATGTATAGCCATAGGAATTACATGGCTACAGGAAATAATTTCCTGAGGAAAATAAGGCCAAATCCATATTTGGCAAGAAGAGTATATTATTCTGGCCAATGGAAAAATTGGATGTTTTAAAAATATATTTAAGTTATGTTTTTTTATCTGACTAATTTTTTATATGGCTATACTTTTCTTTGGCTATTTTTATTTTTGGTACTTCTTTTATATGGGCATTTTTTCCATGGCCATTAATACCAACTATCACATATCATATATAGATCAGGACGATTCAGTTCCAAATCTTCATACCATAATATTTTGTTGTTCACTTCTTATTCTTCTTGAAGCAAACGACTACGAATCTCGTTACACACTCAACACTTCAATTCTTCCTATTACCTCCCCTAATTTCCACGTTTCTCCTCATTACATCTTCCCCATCTTAAACGGAGTCTTTCAATATAACGTTTCTTTTGGGTTCTCTTTCATTAAAATGCGAAAAAGTGGTTTCTGACTTCCCCAAAGTTGTCCAACTTACCATAATCTTCTTGACTCTTGGTCACCTCCAATATGTAATTCTGATTTTTGAAAAGTACTAGATTTTTGTTTTTTCTTATTTCCCGTTCTCTGGTCTCTTTATATTTCACTGGTCACAATATTTTCCATAAGATTTTGTAGTCAGTTTTTAATTTTTTTGCTGAGATTCTAGAAAAACGTTTCAAATAAACATCAGAGGAAAAACACACACGTTTTGATAAAACTACCAAAGACTTCCTCGTTACACTTATTGCGCCATTATAAATTCTATAGTTGTTATTCTCGGTTGAAGTCAAGTCCCGACCGGTTTGACGCGTGCGGGATCCGGAGGTGGTCCCGTCGCGGACAATAGCGTGGTGAACGGCAGCGTGCCGAAAACGTGCACATTCGACGAACGTAGTTCATCGGACGAAGACGGAAAATCACAATAAATCAAAGTTACGGACCATCGATCAGTGGTGATTTTGTGGCGTAAAAACCTGGAACGCGGAGTTGACATTGCTACAACGACCGATCTATCATATTCTGCAAGCGGACCATCGATTTTATCACAATACACAGTAAGTAATATAATAATGGGTTATAGATTAGTCGGTGTGTTTATTTCTCACACTGTAAATATAATTTCGGAGAAGGTATCATTTGTGGTTGGCACTTTTTTTTTCGTTACATTTCCGGTCAATTAACCCATTTAGCTATAAGCAAAAAGGGCACATTCATAAATATTCTAATTTTTCAAGAGAGACATTCGCACTCCTTAAGCGCCTAAAATTTAGTAATATTTCATTAAATTACTGTAGAAACTGTAGATGATATCGAACACGGTAATTTTATTTGTTAACATAAAATTTATTTTTCAATTTTTTTATCCTTGTGATGAAACATTTAAAGTTTGAACATATGTAGGTCATATTTGCGATCGATACATTAAATTGACCGTGAATGAAACAAACGAAGAAGATATTGACCGCAAACGTACGAACCCGTAGACCAGTAGTCGACTAGTCAGTCGGCCAAGTTTTAAATTCAAAGCGGAGCAAAAAATCTATTGGTTCTACTACGATTTGTGTATTAGATTCGGAGCGTAGCGAGGAATCTATTGGTGTTAATATGGTGTGTGGTTTTTTTTCTGTCTGTAAACAACTTTTCGAAAAAAAAAAACTTGCACCGATGTATGAAGTGTAACACCTTTTCTGAAAGGAAAATGTATTTAGTTGGTACATTAGAGAGGTCATTTTTTTTATTATCCAAGTAGTTTTCATAATAATTGGGAAAACCAGAAAAATACGCAAAATGAAAAATGAACAAATTTCCGGCGTAAAATTTCATTATTTCAAATTAGTGTGTACAATGTATTTCTGTTACCAGAAATATTGTATTTTTAATCTAGTTGATTGATAAAAAAATAACCTAGAAATGATGGGAAAATTTACAAAAATACGTTCATTTTCCCCTAAATTCATAAATTTTAAACATTATTAAGCTTAGTTAGGTTTTCATGCTTTTTTCAATTTTGTTTTTATCATAATTCAGTTGAAAATATTCATGAAGACTTGAAATTTTGACAGAAAACTAATATTTGGTTTTTCTAGACACGGTAAAATTTTTAAAACTTTTGAGCCACTTTTTTAAGTATTTATAAACATTTTAATTTTACGAGTTTTTTACGTCTTTTTAATTTGGTATGTACTTGCATGTGGATACAATTGTTTGAAAATTTAACAGAAGGTTCATTAAGAACTGTACTTGGTGATAAAAAAATAAATAGTTGAGTGGTTTGTAGTATTATTCTTTATAAAAGTTTTAATGCCAAATTTTGACGAAAATCGTAAATACTACGGCTTTTCAAAACATGTGTTACAGAATTTCGCTTCAAATCGTTTTTGTTAGCAATAGTTTATCGTTGATACTAACAAATATAAATTAAATAACTTTATGTATCCTACCTTCTTAATTTCCCCCCTATAGCAATAGCACACCCATCCCAAGTATTATCTTTTTTTCGGGTGAGTTTTCGAAATTTTTACTTTGTTTACGTTTACCGTTGGCAGCCGCACTTAGATTTTAGTCAATAAGCAAAGGTAAGTAAGTACATTTTTTAATTTTATGATATTTTGCCAGACATTTTTCAAGTACTTAAATTTAGTAATGAAAGTAATTTTTTACATTCATTGTTTCATTTTCATAAATATACTTATTTCATTATTACTATTAGGTTAATATTAACCTAACCTAACTATCTATCTCAGCTATCCATCGCAGAAATCGTCCAATTTGTAGGTCTACCTCTTAAAGAGTCAATATTTTTTCACTTTCTTCCCTTTTAATCCAACCTTTCTTGAGGTCTTTTCCCTATTGGGTTCTGTTCCAGCATTACCCACATATAGTATTAATTTTCGACTATTTTATACCGTAGAATAATAACGTGCCATGTTGTAACGTACAATCTTGAAAATTAATTTTCCCTCACATTTCAAAACTTATAATATTTTACGATTCTAAAGGATTTATAAAGTTCATATTATATAAAATATATCATATTGAACGACATTTTCTTCGGAATTCGATTATAGAATCTTATAGTATATAAACAAATTTTAATCCGGTCACTTTTTACTTTTTAGTACCCAATACCTATATATAATAATATATATTTTAATAGAACCGGATTTTTATGGATTTACATCCTAGCTATTATATTATTTAGTTATTAAAATCAAGTGACTTTCCTCTTTAATGCTCATGGTTTTAATTCCTTTTTCCGTAACGTTTTACGTTATAATTTTGTATTTACCTATAATGTAGTCCTGAAGTACATGATGAGTACAATTATTTTTATTAAGTATAATGCATAAAATTGTATAATTAGAGAGTAGAATAAATTTAATATTAAAATATAATAATATAATATTATTATTTTGAATATGTTTTACCTAACATAAACAATGTATAGTACTTTTATTTATACTCAAATTTTAAAGACTATATGCACTGTATATAGAATTAATATTTTCAGTCTTTAGAAGTGCGTATACTTACACGATTTCTCTTGGGAAATTTTAAAGTTATCGGTCGCTGTATACAGTACACTTTTTACTATACTGACATGGAAAAGGTAAAAATAAATCATATTCAATTGAGCGCCAAACTGGAGGGGAGGATTTAAGTATTATTTTATCCCCTTATTCGTGACCTTTTTTGTATAAACATAAAACAAACAATAATAGGACGTTTACAAATCGACGAATAAAAAATACCGAATTAGACTAACCCAAAGAGAAAGTGAATCTAAAGTCTATCATTTTACTCGTATATAGGTATATCTTATTATACAGAATGTCCCACGATGATCTCGCATTTAAAATAACTTTTGTATTATTAAATATTAGATTCTAAGCAAACAAAGGAATGTATTAGTCATACAATTATGTTTTTTATACTGTACAAAAAATCTACCAGAACTCTTGCTCTCATTTTCAAGTGTAGCATATTTTCTGAAAGGTAATTTTTTGATTTTTTAAGCAGTTTTCAGAATAGTTGGGAAAAACCGGGAAAAAACTTAAGAAAAACAGACAAATTTACCTTTGCTTTTATTTTATTTTTTTTTCATTGCAATTTAGTTTAAAATATTCGTAGAGACTTGAAATTTTAAAAGAAATATGTTGCCTTTTATAAACGTAGTAAAATTTTCAAAACATTTGAGACTTTTTTGAGCTATTTATAGACATTTTATTTTGCGAGTTTTTTTATGTAATATTTCATAGGTTAAAATTGGGTGACCAAAACAGAAATTTAACAAGATGATCATTCAAGTTGTTCTTATAGTGTTCTTAGTTCTAAATATTCATTAAATTATAAAAATATTAGTAATGAGCATTTGAATATCAATAATTAGAATACTAATAAAAACCATCAATAATAATAATAATCATTAACAAATATCATAATCAGTATTTTAATAAAATAATCAACAATAATCATAGTATTAATAATAAGCATAATACTAATAATTATAAAAATAATAATAATAATAATGAGCACTTTATAAATCATAATCATAATCAGCATTTTAATAATAATAATCAAATCAGCATCATAGTAATCATCAATACTTTTAATAAAAATAATGAAATTGTTATCAGTAATATTATAGGTAATTTTTTTGGTGATTAATACGCTGTTATTGAAATGATCATCGTTTTCATTATTACCCATTATGCTTCTCATTAAAATGCTGATTAAGATTATGATTTGTAAAGCGTTCATTATTATTGTTATTATTATGCTCATTATTATTACCCTTAATAAAATTATAGTTATAATTATTGTTGGATATTTTATTAAAATGCTGGTTATGATATTTGTTAATGATTATTATTATTATGATTGATAATTGTTATTAGTATGATGATTATTGTTGTCCAATTTATTGAGACAACTTCTGGGATATCAAAAAATAACCTGCCTAAATACCACCTTAGGAAAATTCCCTTTTAGAAAATTTGGTACACTTGATACTTCGGAGCAATATTTCTGTCATGATTTTTCTACGCTGTATAAAAAAATTGTAAAACCAATACATTCCTTACTCCACTCAGAATCATAAAAAAGAGTAGAAATCTTACTATAGGCTAATATTTGTTTAATATTGTACCGATAACAATATAATATTCATTTTGTATTGCATAATAACTTCTAATAATATGATGTGTTGTTGCACAACTATTGTTTTTTTTTAAAAAATCTAGTGTCTACCTTAACATTTTCGCTAAGGGGTCCACACGGCTGGGACCCGGTCGAACATGCCCAGATTACCCGGGTGTTAGATCCACCACTGGTAGGACATCCTGTTTAGTCGGACAGTTCGTTAACTCAACGAATCGAGGGGACCGAAGAAGAAATTCGAGTAATTCGAGAAGTTTTCGTTTACAATCTACGACAAAACACAATTTTTTCATTTGTTTTATTACACGATTTTATAATATATACAGTTTTTTGCAGTGATATACGAACCGGCCTCGATGGTAACTGAAAAACCTATATTATGACAAATTTCGTTATTAATAATAACAAAAATATATTTTATATGTACGTATATTTCCCACAAATGTACACGATTTCACCATAACCCTTTAAATACCAATGAGTTATGACAATGTTTATATAATATATACTTATACTATACACGTAGTAATCAATATTTTTCGTAAAAATGAGATACCTAGTTAATATAATGTCATCCGGGTACCGAAATATCCGATGCATCAACTAAGTCGGGTTCGAAAATTTGACCATGGTTCTAGCGACTGCAATATAAAATGTTAAAGTATACCTCCTACAAGGCTACGATGGATTCTGAAACTTTTAATCGCATTACCTATTAAACGGTTAGATCAATCGAATATTTTACCTGATATCATTTTCCTATACTGCAGCCTGTTTTTGTGTTACTTACACATATTATAAGTTATTGATCATTGTACAATTTTTTCCACAAATAGAGACTATTAAATTGTAATGTGTCTATGTGTTTAGATAAACAAACGGTAAAAAGATTTTTACCATTACTTTGGGCACTTTAAGGACCTTTGGACCAAATGAGATCAAACTCAGGAATTAGAGTTTTTTTATAGGCAAATTAAAGTTCTAGAATTATAGTTAAATTTCAATATAAATTTAATCGTGTTTTGTGATAGAAAGAGTGTATTATTTTTTTTTTGTACACTCCTTTCAGAACCTTCCAATGAAGTCAGCGGAATTTTTGTATATGCATAACATCAATATCGATTATATACCTTTGGAGGTTTCAACTTTCAACCTTCTCCTCTCCATACCATTTTCACGATGATTTTCCTAAAGTTTTTTTATTTTTTTGGAAATAGCATATTTCTAAGTAGTATCTAAAGTATTGTATTAATATAATTTTTAGTTACTTATGGTTTAACAAATAATATTATTATGGTACAAGTTAGGGGAAAACTCGACTTGAATGATGAAATTCTGCTGTTTATGGGTGTTTTTTACTCCGCAGTGAGCGATGTTCGTTTATTACTTACAAATTTTAACTGTTGAATATATAATAATTATCTCTGCGCGTTAAAAAATAAAACCAACTCTACACGAACTATCGAGAGGACTGTAACTTCGAGTCATTCAGCCTGGAGACATTAGAACGGAACGCGTATATTTACGGGGACTTGAAGAAAGTTCGTTTTCGATTATGGTATGCGAATGCATACCTTGTCATCACCCCTCACCTTGTCATCACCTCGCTCTCCCACCCGAAAATAACACCTTTTTCGTCGAAAATATCGACCCATTCCCGGCACTTCTGTCGTGATTTTAACGAAATTTTATGGAAATAGATCAATTCGATAGAATATTCACTGTTCAAATGCATATATACTAGTGATATATTATATGCATATATACTAGTAATCCCGCGTGCTGTCACGGATATTTTTTTAAATTTATAATCGTGACATTTCTTCAAAAACGTAAAAAATATTTTAAAAAACTGCGATGTTTCGTATAATAAATATCATTTTCTACTAATTTTATTGTTTCAACTGTAAAACAATTTTTCAATGACTTTTCGTTTATTTTATTGCATCCGAATTGAACTTGAACAACAAAATGTCGAGTTCGACTTTCAAACATTGTGGTTGGATTTTGCGTGATACCATTAATTCAGTTCGTGTTACTGAGAACTTTGATTCGTGGTTGTGCCCTGTCGTTTTACATAACGTACATATACATTATGTCGTTACTATATAATAATATATAACAATATGTTGTTGTTCCGAGCGCGTAAAACAGCAACAGTATACTTTCGACCGATAAAGAGGGGACGTCCATGGGTCACGGTAAGCCGACCGTGTGCTCGCGAATCCAAGACCAAGACCAAGACGACAGTCGACAGTGCATCCGCAGCAGCCCGTCCGTCCGTAGTCCGTCCGTTATGTCGCTCACGTACTGCCGCAGTCCTGACGTACACATCACGCCGCCGCAATGACCACCGAACGCAAGGTCACTGGAACTGCCGCCGAAGGTGGTGCCCCGAAGACGCCGTCTCCGCCTACGATACGGCCTCCGTCGCCCCTGGCTGCAGCTGCGGCCGCGGCCGCGGTAATAGCTGCTAACCGGACGTCTCCGCGGCCACCGAATCTTATGACAAGCCGGCTGACCCCGCGGTCGTCTGACGGCGTCTTCTCCGAACGGCGGACGACCGAACGCATCCGCCGGGACGTCGTCGACAAAACGGCTAACGATGACCGCGTTCAACGGGGCGTCGAAAACAGAAGGACGGCCGCCACCGGCTCGACACCACAGGGCACCGTAGGACGCGAAAATTGGAGGTTGGCACCGCATTACGGTGACTGCAGCAATCCCGCAGTTTCGGATGAGTGCCGTAACGCCAACGGCGCAGGTGGGTCAACCGGTACCGATTCTTTTTGTCAGTATTGCGCCGCTGCAAATCAGAACATTAATTTAAGTTAGGGACACCTCCCGTCGGATATATTAACCAACCAGACTAATTATTTTAAAAATAATATATTTGGATTTTGTTTTTATACTTATGATAAACATTAGTAAAGCCAAATGTTTAAAAACGAATTTCTAAACTCAAAATGCCAAAAATTAAAACTTTGAGATTCTGATGGTCGTTGCACTGAAAAAAAATTATAGTTTGCTAAATACTGTCGTCTACACTCGCAAAATAATATAAGTGCACAAACAGAGGAAATTGAGCATATTATAAAAATACATTTGGCTACTCGTTCAAGTACTAAAGCTATTTTATATTTGGATTCAATTATTGAGTTCTTCGAAATTATTCTGGTTTTAAAAAATTGAATACGTATTTACATCAAAATAACGACCGCGGCTAATTTTGCTAACTATACTTTATTCTCGGAAAACTGGTTATAAAGCTATTACAGACATTTATTATACTATCCAGTCAGTAGAAGAGGAGAGGGAGCGAGCGAACAAACGGACGATTTTATTAATGTTTGAAAACGATAAAAATATGTATTTTAGCGTTTCTAAATCGAAAGTTACAATGCATTAAATAAATATTTTACTACCGCAGTGTCCTATATGTCCTATAGAATTACTACACATACGGAATTATGGTTTTAACCTTCAAACGGACCAAATATTCAAGTCCGGATTAAAGGTCCTGTGAGCCCCTGGGGCAGATTTGAAATCGAACTCTCGTATAATATGAAGGGCACGGAAATTTGAGTAGATACTACAAAATATTTTTATATGAATTAAAAATGATATAACGGTCCTTTATCGTTGGGTCCAGGAATCGTGTAATCCCTTAATTTGAGCTTGCAAATATTATATTTAAGATATTTGTATGATAGAAATATTAATATAAAGAAAAATATATTATCTCTGCAGAAGTATGGATCGATAAAACATTTAAAAACGGCAAACGAAACTGTTTACCCAATTTATTAAATTATCTGCAAGACCCAGATCCAGGTACTTACGGATCCAGGTACTCATTAATTTAGGAAAAGACAGAAATTTATACATTGCATGTGTCTCTACACATAATAATTTTGCCTTCCCTGCAATACATTAATTAATAACTTGCAATGTTCCTGTAAAACTATATTATTAAGGACGGTTATGATGGTTTGCCAACAATTGGACATGGGCATTAGACATAAGCACGCGGAACTGTTATAAACGTCTGAAACATCGAAAACCGATCGCCTGTATCGACTGATTCGTTATCGCCGCGTAATCGTTCGAATGCGTAATATTATTAAATAAGTCGCTGATGATTAAATAATAATCTTTGGCGACTAATCGTGATTTGTAAACTCTGGTCGTATTTATCGGATCCGGATCGAGAATCCAAATACACGTTTATAACACATCTGTCAGAACACATTTTATGAGATTTTTACCTGCAACAGTGTAACTAAAAACTTAAGTCTAGATGTCTAACCATCAAGTACATCACGGACATATCATAATCAACATTAGTATCTATTTTAACTTGTACAGTTAATTCGATTGCATTTTGCAGCTAGAGGTCATAACAGTATTATAAGTATAATATCATAAATATTGCACGATGAAATGTTAAATTTCAGTGTTCGGATTTATTTAGATTACTATTTAATATTTTGTTTAGATAAATCATTTCAAATTATTTAAATATTTATCTCTAGATAAATATTTCACTTATCAAGATTAATTATTTCAGTTAATTATTTTTTTTTATGAAAAATTTTAAATAACCGTAATTAGTGTGCAAACGAAAACTTTTAAATTTTAATTTGTATTATTTTTCATTGAGTCTTGTAATATCATTGATTATACATGATATGGTATTAATGAGTTAATAAATAAGTTATGTTGTTAAAATAAGTTTATTTTGAGTAGGTACTTAACTATGGCAGATTCTTGTTTATTCTTCAGTGATATCAATTTTATTAACTCAATTTCAATAGTTACATACAGTAACCAAGTTAAATGTACATACTATATACTTAACGATGACACGGTTAAACATAAACAAATTTGTTAGATTAGATAAAATTAAAGTTAATTTATTTCAACAGTTAACATATAACATAGATGAACATCAAACTAACATTTTACAATTAACCTTTAATTTTGAGTTAATTAGTCTTTATTAACTTTTTTAAAATCCATACATTTACCCAGTTAGTATTAACTGTGTGTTACAACAGAAAAAAAAAATATTTTTTTTATCTAGATAAAATTATATTCATACTAGACAAATTGTAATTTTTCATATTTTATTTTCATCTGAATAAATATTCATGAATTATCGTTTATCTCTATCCACATAAATATTTAGTTACCTATTCTAAACACTGATTATACCCCACTATTTAAAAATACGCTACGAATGTAAAGGTGTAGCATCTCAGAGCGATCCCGCAAGGATGGATCGTTAATCTTTTTTTTTACATCGTTGTCCTAGTAAAATGTAGTATAAATTATAATACTACTTTTGAAAACGATGGAATTCTTTTTATCGTTTAAAAACAACACTGCATGTTATTATTTCCCCTTTTCACGCCGAATCGATTTTCTGTCACTTCTAATATACCAACGTATTCCTTCGTAAAAACTATTGTAGACTCGGTCATCATCATTTACCGAGTCGAACAAAATCGATATAATTTTGTCAAAACACGATTAAATATTATAAATTTATAAATATTATTATGATATACTTGCCGTGGTTTATTATTTCTTATTTTGGTCATCAACTTTTTGATTAGTACCAAGTTGAGTTCACCTCTCCGTATGCTTCTCTACTAATACTCTATCCTTTAAATATCGATAACAATTCGTACCCGTGTCCTCTGCGGGTTTACTCCATTATAAGTTTTCTTTTTCCTATTTTACTATTTACTTTCAATAATCATATTATTACCCTTTCTCTTTTTTAATAATTTACCAAAGTTGTCTTTTTTCCTTAATGCTTCTTTAAATTTGTTCATTCATTACTCTATCACACCATTGTAATTTTTATGTAACATAAATATAATATAATGGTTTTATAAAATCGTGAGTGTTTTCAGTTCACCATAAATAGAAATCGCTAGACTTTTTACCAATCTGATGGACAATTATTTAGTCGAAAACCATTACGAACCGTATTATTTCATTTTATTATATTCGATGAGAGAAACAACACCTAATGATTAGTCGGTTTATTGCTTTTTTTTATTTTACGACACGATTTAATATAGTTAAAAGACGTAGTATTGTAGTAAAAGCTGTTGTAATGACCTAATAATAATTCCAGTATAGACTTGAAAGAAAAAAATACCACAATGTACCTATTACCTGAAATTGTGTGTAGTACTTGGTTATTACATTTTAAAATTCCATAGCTTTCAGAATATACAACACTATTATTTTATTTTATTTATAAATAATCGATTTTTTAATAAAAATTTGAATTCGCTTTCGGAACTTTTTAATTTTTCAGAATCTATTATCGGATAATTTAGCTTTTTGTAAAAATGTGAAAAGATATAAGACGTTTTTGAGTTTTTTTATGCAATACCTTCGAATTTTTTCTCGATTATTTATAAACGTATTAAACCATCACTTGCCGCCGTCAAAACGTTTGCAGCCGTTATCGTCACTACTTAACGGAAAATAATTATTTCCCGTCCATTATAATATTTTCAAAATGCTCTCTTTCTACTGTATATTTTAATCATTTTGAATCTGAAATGCATACAGACAGGTGAAAATTGACAGGATTACTGTAGTATAACACAAGATTCATTATCATATAACTAAGAGCTATATGAATTGTATTAAATGGGTAGGTATATAATATTATAGTAATAGATTCTCTTTTCGTTTACATTATTTATCACTAAAACTTGATCTCGTTTTCGGGGGTTTTTCATATTACACCCACCATTGTGTTATCTTCCATTTATTCAGAATTATTTCACTCGCGATTTGTTTTTAACGCGACTATATTTTTTTCATTAATTATATTTAAAATAAAATCCTTTTAGAGCTTTTTTGTACTTTGTCTTCTCTTGTATGTATAAAAGATATATATCTTTTACTCTCATTGACTTATTTTTTTTCGAATAAAACTCTGGATGTGGTTTATCTTCTGAATATTTTATCAAATATACAATTTATTTATCCCTTTGAGACATTGTGGTATTATAGTGAAACCATTTATTTATTTTTTTAATTTAATGCTAAATTTTCAAATTTTCAAATATAAAATGAATATGGGCCTCTATGGGCTATATTATTAAACCATAATAACTCGATTGACATAAAGCATATGTAGTTATAAAAATATAATTCAAGAATTTTTGTCGAATTTTCGCCGAAAATCAAAACTATTCCACTGTGTTGTGTCAGGTCTGAGGTATCAGGGTGTTTCATAAAGATATCTCCTTAGATAATAAAGATAATAAAATTATGGTTTTTTTTTTATATATAACTCACAGGGATATTTTTATTTCAATTAATTTTGTATGCTTTGGTAAAAATTTAAAAAAATAACATTCTGTCTAATTATTTTTGACAAGTTTGAATATAGCCATTTTATAGAGTTCATCCTTCTAAAAATGTTGACGTATCAACTTTTTATTAAATTGGTGATTTTTAATCATTTTTTTAAGTTCGGAGAAAAAATTGCGCAGTCAATTAGTTTTAATAATAATCAAACAGCGAATTCACTTATGGCCTGCCACATTTTAGGCATTTTCGTCTAAAACTTTAAAAAATTATTAAAAATCACGGATTTAATGAAAATAAAAAGTTAATACGTCAAAATTTTCAAAATAATAAACTTTTAAAATAATTATCTTTAAATTTTTCAAAAGTAATAAAATACAAATTTAGGTTTTTATCAAAACATAATAATTTAATTCAAATAAAAATAATTGTAGTCCTTATCCTCGCAAGTAATATTGGAAAAAAAACGGACTTGAATCATTTTTATTATTTTAGGAGATATTTTAATGGGTATATCTTCGTGGGATATCCTATTATTTTTTCTACTAATTTTGGATACTTTTAACGGATCCTTCTGGACCAAATTATTTTGGAAATTTGTTGTTTTGTAGGCAGAATAAAGTAACAAAATTTTAGTTGAATTAAAATGTCACCATGCTATTGCATGAGGGCGGTACTTTTTAGCCCCCAAATGAATCCAGGGCGATGCAATTTTTATATGTGCATACTGTAAGTATTTGGGGTTTTCAACTTTCAATACTCTTTCAAAATATTTGTTTGCTCAAATAACAATTTTCATGGGAAATACAGTATTTTAAAATATATTTCTACAGACTAAAACATAATAAGACTCTAGTAACCATAAAACTATTTTAGATCAATTATTTTACAAATAAAACAAATTAAATATTGTAACTTAGACAAATCAGTTGGCGGAAAACTCGATTCTCCTGAGAGTGATGACTGAGCTCTGCTGCTCACAGGAGTTTTTTTTTATAGAGTTATTTTTCTAAGAATTAAAAATGTTAATAAAAAAATATTTGAACACAAACTAAATAAAAATTCAATTATGCTTTTATATCGCAATAAACAAACTACTCTTAACGGGTGTATACTTATTAATTATAATCATTTCACGTTTAATCTAATATTATATCAAGTAATTTCTTATGTTCATTCAATTTATTTTTTCCAGCTATCGATTTTGATAAAATCCATAAAAATATAGTCGTCTTAATGTATACAACACGATTATGATGTCAATATTGATCATCCGGTATGCTTAACATCGTTAAAATATTATACGTATAGTAATTTTCGTGAGTCATATATTTTATATTATGAATATTTCACTTTTAAGTAATTCTATCAAAAAAACACTTAATTTAAATATTAAATTTCCATGTAAGATTAATAATGTTTGGGACGTTTGAGTGTATTTAAAACGTAAAAATACATGACTACACTTAATTCTACAGAATAACTTTACGAGTATAAGCCGCACGAATCCGCAACTCGGTCGATCGAACTTTACTAGCTATGTATCGATTAATCATTAAATGCTATTATAACTCCTTTTTATGATCATAATTATATACGCGAAACGCAATACAAATTATAATTTATTATTTGTCTATACAAACTAACTGCTTGTAAGTTATTTATATACGATACAGTTTGTATAAGCGATAAATTCGATCCTCGGAGTATATTAAAATAATACATAAAAAAACTTTTTGTGATACACTTTCGACTGTTTTCAATAAAACATTTCATGTACATTTTTTTGTACGTCTGTACATCGGGACGTTTCGTGTGCGAGCAAACTTTTATTAAATAGTAACATGCCTGACGATGTATAAACTTTAATAAAAAAGAAAATTGAACGGTCACAAAATTAAATGTTAGGGAAGTTTAGTAATCCATTTTTAAAAATTGTTCAACAGAGCTAAATTTCTCTGCAGCCATATGGACTGTATTCATTTTTACTAGTATATACGTTAAATCTTTTTTTACCTCCCATATTATCCAATTAATACTTTACGTTTCACCGAATAGATCTTAATATTCGATCGCATACATATAGTTTCGAAACACTATCAAATGGTGCCTACCATTATCCCAAAATTCAAAAAAAATGGATTAATATTTTTCTTCCCGCGTGCCCTTTATATAATATTTCTGAAGTAGACAGATCGAATCTCATCAACTATACGCAAGCTTATGCACGGGGTTGGTTTTTCAGATATTTTCAGCGAAACCTCTCAGGTAGTCGTGTTAGTTTGACGCTGTTTAGTGCATAATAAACGTCTTTAAAAATAACGGAAACCTGCGCCGATGAACGAACATTTACTTCAGTACTTTGGTTTGAATATTGCGTTTAAGATTACAATTTTCACCGTATACGGAACGAAGCCAATAAACCTCGACGCAATAAGAATGTTTAAACCACTCCATTTTATGACGAACAATAGTGTTTAAGTACCTACTTACACTAAAATACTAGACATTACGCGCGCGCGTATTATCGAAATACGAATTATCGTAAACACTACAAGTCCGCTATGTCCATCATAATATACAACCCAACAACCGTTAATTTAGTGTAATACGAGAAAGTGTATGCCTAAAATATTATAGATCTTTAGGTACCGGAAAGATAATACAAGTGACTTGCATAGTTCCCGCGTGGTACTTATATTATATAGATAAGAATGTGTCGGTGAAATAATACATGGTATTAACGTTTTAACTTTTAATTAAAACGGCAAAATTTGTTATCGAACATTTAGACGGCATTAGGCAAGCCTGTACTTAACTATAAAAGTAATTAACAGACAAAAATAATACAAGAAAAATTAAATAAAAACACAAATCTTTTAATTTTTCAGTTTACTCACTCGTAAAATACTGTACGATTAAATGGCAGATAAACTGCAATAATATAGGCGGTCATAACATTATAAGTTATAACGTTTAAATACAGCCCGTGCGTAACGAAAAATAAAAGATAATATTTCTCAGGTGTATTATTTACATCATCGTCGTAGGTAATTTACTAATTTAATAATTTTAAACGCGCTCAAAAAATTTATCTCAATTAAACGTCATCTTTAAAAATAAAAATATTAAACCGTTTTCGAGCCATACAAATTATACTACCTAGTCTTATCGCATGACAATAATATATTATGGTCTAGTTAATCCTCCTTGATTCTCCTCGGAACATCATCATTCCTTATATATATATATATAAATGACTTGCATCCTACATATTTGTTACATAGTCTACATACTGTACGCAATTACTATAAATTAATCATAGTATAATACTTAACTACCCGCCAAGTTTAACGTGGTCACAGAATTCCTACATGTACATAGTATAAGTAATTACGATATGTATATATATATATTTTATTGAACGATAAACCGGAAGCGCTGTACAAAACTCAAATAATTATTTGCGCGGTACGGTAGTCTCGAAAGAGAAAGTTCAATGTTTAATTCGTTTTTATTTTTTTCAAAAACGGAATACTTAAATTAGTTAAATTAAATTACGGTTCATAAATAATATAAGTACCTATTTCGTTTTCTGTTTGTATCAAAAACCAAAACGAGTATGAAATAGATAGGGCACGCCCGAAGAAGTCAAAACCCATTTACTTCGTACAATGCTGGAAAGAAACTCGACACGGAATAAAATACTATTTGAAATACCAAAAACGACATAATCAATAAAAATTTGAAATATCTAGGAGGATGAGGATTAGCTTACACTCATATATTTACAACTTATGACGAATACATTTTCAAACATTATTTCAGAGCCAAATTAATTTGATCCATATTAAGCCAAACTCAAAAATTCTCCGAATATTTTAAAAATTATATCACGTGTAGAAAGTGTTCATATATTCGGTCAACATGACACGCTCCAAGAATATTTCTAACCGAATAACAACAAAAAAATAACAGAAATCGTTATTACGTAAATGTATTAGTTTTTCCTAGGTTTCCTCACAAAGAAAATTAAAAAATGACCACCTTATCAATGCACAAACGTCACAAACCAGACGAAATTTTCTACTATAAAACCACTCCTAACGATTGGAGCGAGATTTCTGGTAAAAAATTAATTTACCGAATGGAAAAAAATATACATCATAGTAATCATAGACAAAACAATATTCATTTTGCGCTCTGCTCAGAATCTAACGTTATAAATTAAAAAGAAGTCGATCAATTCAAATATGATTCGTATGACGAATTATGATTTTTTATTATAATCGATAATACCGATAATCAATGTGATCTTTATACTTTAAATTAATTATTTAATCTATCACAACGTATTATAAACTATCTTAAATAACTTTAAAAATACAAATTAATACAATTTTATTATACCACGTAAGCACGTATAAAAAATAAAAAGCAGAAACGAAAATATAACACTAATTTATTTCAATAATTAAGAACGTTTAGTTTAATTGAGCTTGCAAAACCACATACATAATATGGATTCGAGTTATTTTTAAGTATACTTTGCCACTTTATAACCACGAACCATTTTTTAACGTTATATAATATTTTGTTCTGGTTTAATTATTAATTAAATATGGCGTAAATGCGTAATTTATATATTTTTCCCTTGACGTTAAAATAAATTTTAATTTTAATCATTGTTGTGGAATAGGTATATAGTACAGTACCACCCTGTGATTAAAAATAAAAAAATTCTAACCTAATGCAACAGACTTGCGATGACACACATTTATTTTAAACGATTTGCATACATTATTTTTCAGTGCATAGTGTATGCGAGTTGACTGAACAAGACAGTCTCGATGATCGTTTGTCGCATGCGAACCGTAAATTAGTCCAGAGATCATCGAGAATGATTGGGGGTCGAAGCGAAAGACCAAAACTTAAAAGTAGTAGAACCCTTATAAATATGTTGACGAGCAAAGGGACGGACATGCTACTACACACCGAATCTTTGTAAGTCATCGTGATATTTATTATTATTCATAATAATTAGACTCAAGTCAAGGCCACGAACTATTCTTAAGTACAATAATAATACATATCTATGTTCTGTTTGTTGTTTTTTTTTTATCACAGCGACCACTTTTGGGTGACACTCAGCTCATTATACGGCCTGATACTGGTAATCCTCATGTTCGCCATTTGTCTGATAGAAGTAATGGACAATCCCGTAAAGTTGCTGTCCGTGCAGGGCATTTATCTGATGTACCTGTACCTGGGCAGTATAGCCGTGATCATATGCATTTACGTATGGGTGTTGATCGATTCGTGCGTCAGCTTAACGTCCGACGAATCTGAAATCGTCACGTCGGGCTCGTCGTCGCCAGGAATTTTCACATTGAACCGGTTCAGTTCATTGAAACAATTCAGCTCGTTGAAACGGGCCCATATTTCACGAGCGAAAACCTCGGACACTAGTTTTTACCTGAGAGTTGGAGCATTAGGTAAGTTAAAAATAAAAACCCTCTCTCAATTAAATAAGTACATATCATATAAGAAATCATTATGATGACGGAACAAAATTTCTACAGTTTTGCACCTAAGTATATTTTTACATTACGTTGGTTTTTAACTCTATATAATATGTATTCTAACTCGGATTAAGAGGGATAGGCAAGCAGCCACGTCCTCATGGCCCATGCATCCATGGGTCCGTTATGTTATCATTAATGTACAATATAAAATGTTTGTTCAAAAATTTCTTAGTACGAAAATATACAAACTTACAATTCATATAAAGAAGGCCTATTTGCACGAGTTCTTCCCCGGTATTTACTGAACTATACTTATTAATCCAGTTTTGAAACATTGAAATATACACTGGTTTCTAAAAAAAAGAAAAAGGTAATAATTTATGTTGCATTTCTTATTTTCAGTATATGGTTTGGGAACGCTGGTGTTCAATGGCTTGGAAATGGCGATGCACTCCATGATGGATGTCAACTGTTTAAACGACGTCATATTCGTGCATCCCATACTACACGGGCTATTTACATTTTTACAGATGCATTTTCTTTTCATAAATTCTCAGGTAAATATTAAATTTGTATACTATATAATTACACTTATAATACCTGTACAGAATATGTATACGCAGAAACTATATTATATATAAGTGCAGAAACACCGTCTTTATTACTCGCGGTCACGTTAAAAAAAAATATAGGGGTTATTTTCACGTCCTTCCCCCTGAATCATGATTTCCTAACAAATAATAATTATATTTATTCATAATTATATTGTCTAAAACACTAAAAACACAATACATAAATACATATTCTGCAATTGTTAATAATTAACATGTTATAGAGAGATTTTTATAATAAAACACAATAATTGTTTAGTATTATAAATTTTAAAACAGTTATAATAAATATGTATTTCGATCATTTAAATTTACATGCTATTCAATGATCGATATTTTTATTGTAAACAATTCAACTAATCCTTTGGTTAGACAATGCCTACGTGAAAACAATAACTGCCTTTAAATTAATTCATTATAACATTATAACATTAATGGTGCGTTACTCTTCCAAATCACAACTCGTATATCATAACTTAAATTATAATTTGTTATTGTCTATATTTCCGTGTAATTGGGCCTAGCCCGTATTGTTGAAAAAAATACAATAAAACTCGTATAGCACTAATAATCAACTGTACCTACAATAATATGAAATATACTGCCAATTGAAAAATTATCCACAAATATAATTGCAATTCGTTTCAATCGGTTCGACGGGAAGAAATCTAAAACAATCTAATATCGAACAAAAAAAAAATATCGGTTAATATAAAATCGAGAAATATTTCGGTCATTTTTGGTACGTACATTATATTATAAGTAGTCTAAGATTCTGAAAAACCGAGGAATGTATTGTTTTTACTAAGATACGTTTTCTTTTTGTATCCATAAACAACTTTCAACGACAAATTTGATCCAATAAAACACTTGTTAAAAACTTTCTTATAGCATTTCTGATATAATTGATGCACTGAGGTAGTTATTTTTTGATTTTTCTGGTAATTTTCTTAATAGATAAGAAAAACAAACAATTTTTTAAATAATTTTCGTTGATTTCTGGGTTACTTCGACAACGAGAGGAAAAATACGACTATAATACTCAGCTCATAATCGTGTTTTGTTAGGAATGGTACCTTACAGATATAAATTTAATTACTTTATTCTCAATATTATGTTCTCCCTTTAAATTTCTCTTCAATAACATTACACAACCAGTAACAGTATCAGCCTTTTTAAACATTGAAAACCTACCTGTATCAACTATATTATATTATTATGTTCCGTTTCGCGCGTTATCATTGAAGATTTTTGAACGTGAGATTATATATATATGTTATAATACCTTGATGGTATACATTTTGGTAAGTACGATTCTTTTTTAATTCTTATTAAAGTTGAATGCATGTACCTACAACAAAAATAAAAATACAGTACATTATTCTATTATGGAATGTAATTTATATAATATTTTCTCGGTTACAATAAACTCACAACAACCGTGGTCCATGACGGTATATAATACGCATCGTGTGCACAGCAGGAATCACGCACCACTTGCCCCAGACGATTAAATAATAATCGTCGTTCATCCTCATTCATCGTGTATACGCTTTATGAAAATCAAAATTATCTTTATTTTATTTGTTTAAGATTTTCTAAATTACATACACATTCAGTCTAAGCGTTATTATTTCGCATTTTTATGTTTGTGTGGTTAAGGCCATCCCTACGTGCTTTCACCACGGCTGAACAGGCCCACTATTTTATAGATACAGTAAAAAAAGGACATCTTCGCACGATGGGTGCAGCCACTAATGTTGTTGGTGAAAAGTTAGAAAGGTAGGATATAGAGATTAGATGGAAAATTAATTTGTATCTGTAAGCAACGATAAACCATTGCTTATTAAAAATTGAATATCTCCGGAGATAATAAACATAACCAAATTCTGTATTTTTATATTACTCTCAGGAAAGAGGACTACAAATATTTATATTTGAATTATTATTTTTCTTACTAAAAAAATTAAATAATAACTTTTATTTTATTATTTTCGAAAAATTTTAAGATAGCCATTCTGTAAAGATTATTTTTCTGAAAATTTTAATGTATCACACATTTATATCCGATGAATAGTTTCTAAATAACAGCCACTAATGAAAACCGATATTACCTATGGAATAACCTAAGACTTTAACCATGTTACGCCGTGTTAATTATAATTTTAATAAAATTTTAAATGTACAAACCTATTTTAAAAATAATATCTTATATCAATCCATTTTAGATATTAAATAATAACCAAATGATTTATATTTCTTAACTATGTCTAATAATAACCGCATTTAAATAATCTCTCCTATTAAAATAAATTATTTCTATGTAAAACGAACAATTTGTATAATTTTTTTCTATGTATTCCTTCATTTAATTTTTTATACTCAGTCGCGTTTTACACTTTGACTGTGGTATACCTGATGATGAATTTTTAATTCGAAACCTGTCGTAAAATAAACTTGTCACAATACTTCAGCCTTCAGGCGACGTATTTATACGTTTATTTATTTTTAATTTTTATATATACATTTTTTATTTATATATTTATTTACGAGTATTGACCATTTTAATAACTTTGTATTTACTTTATTATTTTATTATAATAATTTGTTGAACTTGGTTACTCAAATTCTTTCTTGGCCACGTTTATATTATAGGTGTTGGTTGAAAGGTTCGGGTTGGCGGCCAGATTCGGATTCATGCACTTGGCCGCCACAAACATAGCCTTGTGGGTGCGGTTGGTGGTCTGGGAGAGCGGTATCGAATGGATTTACTTCATCCATTTGGCGCAAACCTCGAACGTGGGAATGTCGGCGACTTCGTATGAGTCCAGCGTTCCGACTCCACTAGAACTGCGCGGATATCCGAGGTTTATCACCTCAAGACACACACGAGACCTGAAAACGGGTATGTGCAATCGATTGTCACATTCAGCAATACGTCAGTTAAAAATAAATACATGAATTGTTTTGAAAACTATAAACGCTGTCGAAAACGTATTATAGATACGCCATCCAATTATATACATATACATATCTTTTTCAAAAAAAAAAAATAATAATAAAAGTGAGTTTTAATTAACTCGCGTGCCCGTATGTATAAAAACGATAATTTATTCTACACGGTCGTAAATTCGCGTGCATCAAAATAAATACATGCATTTCAACAGGTTTTTCATGTAGGCATGTAAAAGTATTTCCCACCTGTAGTATTAATTTATATTTAAATCTATTGAAATAGATTCATCATAAAACATTTGATGGTGATTTTTCTGATTTTTGAAATAATATACACGTAATATTTCTATACGTGATGCGTTTCAGATTTTAACGGAACGTTCAGGAATTCGGTCTATCAGCCGGTGTCCGAGGATCATGTAGCACAAGTAGTGACACTCCATCATTGTCTAAACACCAATTCGCTGGGTCAGCTGCTGACGTCGTCTATGCCATATCTTTACCCGTTCATTGTGCAATTCAGGTACGATATCTTATACTTATTCTTGTTTTAGGAGGTGGTAACCAATCACATATTTAACCGGTTGAGCTTGTAAAAAAGGAACTTTTTTTTTGCTCATAAACAAAACTATTATTTTTGTGTTTGATTAGTTATTCAACTAAACTTTGATAGGTAAGTAGGTCGATTTAGCTGGTTATGATATTTTTAAAAATGTTAATTTCAATCAACCGAAAATTTGATCAACCCCAGTGGCACACACTAAAAGGTTAGGAGGTCAGAACCACCTTCCTCGGAAATGTCTTCCTTCGCTAAATTTTTTTAAATAAAGTTTTACATTCAGCAACATAATATCTTATATCACAGAATAAAATAATGAAAATTAATATCATCAAATTACTTCACCATTTATTCGATAATAATAGTAATTATAGTACTGTACTGATTATACGTGTTAACTCCTTTCTAGGAAATAATTATAAGTACGACTATCTCTTCCTTAAAATGAAATTCTACGTGCGCTACTGGCCGACGAAAGTACACAAGTTTAAAGATGCAAGGTTCCCCTTCATCCCTGTATTAGTTTCATCCCAGCTATAGAATTCGCTCGTATTATTAACTCACTCTCACCCCTCCCCAACAATCGATTTATACGATTTTAGATTATGATATAGATATGCTTTTTTTTGATCTGTGAATACATTTTCTACCAGAAATTTTGCTCTGATCATCAATCTTAGGAGTGATGTCTGGTAACAAATTTTATCTAGTAGGTATACTGTGGAAGTATTTTTTTGATTTTCCTTTTGGTTTTCTAAATGAAAAAAACGGGAAAATGTACACAACAACAGTTTCTGTTATTTTCAATCTTTTAGATTCCAAGCGTAACGAGGAAACTATTGATTTTACAATACTGTTAATTTCTTTTTAGATTCCGAGCGTAGCAGGAAGCTATTGATTCTACTAAGATGTTTATACTTTTTTCTTCTTTTAGTCTGTGAACTCGTTTTTTACTAGAAAACTTGCTCCGATTTTTACGTGTCAAAACTTTTCTGAAAGCTCAAGTTGTCTAGATTGTACTTACTGTAAGAAAACGAACAATTTCACGATTTCATAATTTTATAAAAACACGGACGACGTTGTCTATCATAAAAAATGATTTAATCAAAAATCACAAAATACCTTTTTTGTTGCTTTTTCAATTTACTTTCTTGCGGTATCATCGCCAAAACTTTTGAGCCACTTTTGAGCTTTTAAGGAATTTTAATTTTTGGAAGTTGCTTGTTGTAATTTGGTCATAAATTCAGATAAAGACTTTAAACTTGGTAATAATACTTATATTAGACTTACATAGATGTGGTAAAATTTCCAAAATAATCGGGGGAATTTTTTTCCTTTTTTTTAATTTTTTTTTACAATAGAACTTTATTTTTTTTTTTTTGTACTGTAGACAACTACAGTAACTTTTTAGCACTTTTTCTGAAAGTCAATTTTATCTACTTGGTAAATGCATGGATCATTTTTTGATTTTCGAAATAGTATTCAAAATAAAAACGATTAACCGAGAAAAAAATTACGATTTTTTCACGATTTCGTTATTTTAAATAAGTACCTACCACGTTTTCTATCATAAATATGGCTCCAATTGAAAAATGACAAGAGACCTTTTTTGTTGAATTATTAATCTTGTTTTTAATGATGCAGTTCGTTTTTTTGATTTTTAAGTTAAAAAAAATTACGGTACTTCAAATTATGTATTACCAAACTGCGCTCGGGGAATCGTCTTTCGTCAGCAATGATTTATCATTGCTTACAGATATAAATAAAATAACCTTATGTATCCTACCTTCCCAACTTCTCACCTACAACAGTAGCCGCACCCGTCACCAATATCAGCTCTTTTTTTTTTGGTGTGTTACGATTGCGTACGGATCATTTTCACTATTATGATTACATTCGTTTTACCTAACTAAATTTAGTGAAACGTTGCCGTTGCATGTTCACAAGCGTGAACTTTGTAAAAATGTGTAAAATAACTTATTTTAAGAAAAACCTTTGGTTAACTAATCTTTAAGTTTGATAAACTTGATTGTGATTATTGTTTCAACGACTACTATTTCAACACTAAAATTATCCAAAAAATTAATTACCCACTTATAATATATTAAATTTTTTTATCAGGGACTGGTTATCGATACCAAGGTTTTACATCATAATGTATTTGTTTATTAATTTATAATAATTTTTAATTGGTTATACTATTGGTTTAAACTATTGATGTTAATAGTTTTAATTCAAAATGATGTTATTATTATTATAATTATTTGCATTTTGTATAACATAATATCTATATATATTCCAAAAGTGTAATTTATAATTTGTGCTTGTATGATATGTTGTCTTTAATTGACTATACACTATATTGTATTTTTTCAATAGAACCTGATAAAATATTACTTAAAATAATGTTTTATTAATTTACGCACAGTTTTTACTTTACAGTTAATTTACTATATTTACTAAAATTTTTAAAAATTAAATACGATAAGGATCATCAAGTTGTATATCGTGGTGAAAACTGAAAAGAGTTGAGCGTAATATAGTTTTTTTTTTATTATTATTATTATTGTTTTAGGTCCAAATTTCAATAAAAATAATATAAAACATTTTTAAACAAAATATTTATATATAATTAAATAAAAGTCATAAAATCCCAAATATATAAAAATAATTAATCTCACGACCATTCAAAACATGTTTAATCGAACTTCGTTCAGAATCATTTTTCGATAGCAATGATGTGTACTCCTTACTAATATAGTGGCCCACTCGTCAGCAATATCGGCTAATTTATTTCCATTTTGTAACGTTAAATAAAACAAATATTTTTGAAAATCGGGCGCTCTGTAAAATACGCTTATCATAGTTTGATAGCCGCTGGAGTGACGTACGTGATGGGCAAGAACGTGGGCGTTTGTCAGGCTAGACCGGTAAAACGGGACCATCACCCGCAGAAATCGTCGGCGATGACCAAGGACCAGAAAGACGCCCAGCTCAGCCGGTTATACGTGTCCCGGGGCGTGAGCTTTTCAGGCGCCAACAAGGGTCTATTCCTAGGACTGCTCACGCTGGTCATGGTCATTGTGGTGGTCATTATATTCCTGGTACTCAAGGACGACGTGGATTTCGCATCAGACACCCTGTTCTGGATAACGTCTGGTACATTGACAGCCATTCTATCGGCAAGCACGTTGCTAGGCTGCGTGGGTCTCTATCAGATCCGCAAGCTGTGCCACAATGGCGACGATCTGACCACGTTGGACGATATACTGGCCACAATATCCAGCGCCGGCATGGTGCTTTACGCACTGTTTAGTACGACCGTAGGCTTTGTTGGCCTAATGACCTCGGAGCCCGGCAGCGCTGACCAACAGCTTGACCTCATACTGACCGTCGTCAATGTGCTGCAACTAGTTCAAATGGCCGTCCAGAACTCTCTGATTGCCGAAGGTTATAGGAGGAGCTCTTGGTCAAGGCACCAGCTGTTCACCAAACCCGGGCGTCAGGTATATTTATAACAAAATTATATATTATCCCCGCCTCTTATAAATTAATTCAGTGATTCAGTGGCGTCATTTCAATATTTTACTAGACTGAGACAAATTTCCAAAAATTTTCAACTGAACGATTTTAATAATAATAAGTTTATTTTATTTTAGCAGTTAGATTAGGAATGGGTTTCGCTATGCTCGAATAGTTGATCGGATATTTACTTCTAATAATTCTCAATAAATTTAAACAACAGAAATACCGACTATTGAAACGAATTGAGGCGCTAACCGGGACTGCTAAGTGTATAAGTTGACCCACCATAACGGATAAAGAAACGATGAAACGTGAGTTTCTACGTGACCCTCGTTTGCATAAAAGGTTAGGTTAGGTTAGGTTAGGGTACCATCTTAACTAACTACCTAGATATATTAATTCCTACATGGTTATCTAAAAGTGCATAATATTATGTTTTATCAACTCCTACGCGCTTATAAATATTAGGCATGCACTATATAAAGTGATCTACATAACATAAGACACACATTATTTTGGAAAATATTAACATTTGTTTTTTAGATCATTTAAGAAATAAGTTGCTCTAAAATATTACATTAAGATTATTTTTGGTCATTTTTCAACTAAGGGATGAAACAACAACCTACTTTTGATTTTAAAATGGGAACCTAAATTGAAAATTCCCTAAGTACATGGAATATTAGTGAAAACAAGTGATAAAATGTTTTATTTCCGTCAACACATTAACGATATATTGGACTTTTAAGTTTAGATAAGGGAAGAATGGTGGAAAACTATTAAAATGCCACTCACCGTGCCGCCACACAAATGATGCACTACTATATTCTCCTCCCCACCGTCGAAACTTAAAAGTGGAATAATTTGTCAACGGGTTGACGGAAATTGAAAATGTCAACACCAAAATTGATTTAAACTAATACTTCGTCTATTTGAGGAATTTTTACCATAGTTTGCCATTTGAAAATCAAAAGTAGATAAGCAATAATTTCATCACTAAAATAACGGTGAAAAAAAGATCATGTAACATTTTAGAGCTAATTACTTATTTCTTTAATGTTCTAAAAAACAAATTCTGAAAGATGTTAATACTTTTCGAGATGAGTTCCTTACGTTATGTTGATCATCCTGTACATGTAATTTTGCTGTAAAATATTTTTGTAACTTCATGTATGATAATTTCGGAATTACTATCAGGGACATTTTTGGACATTTTGGATACGGCTCTGTGGAACATATTTTAACCTCCCTCCCCCGGTATGCCATATAATGTTTCATATTTCACATAATATATACCTATAAAGTATAGGTACTTAGTTATTATGTATCTATATACATCATTTTGTTATATTATAGTGTAAACATAAAATAAATTAAGTTTGTTTTGTAAATTGTATTGGTTGTCAATACATTTTTTTATGTTTTAAGCATATAGTCCTTTAATCTAGTCCTTCAGTCTGAACTTAACATTTTTTGTGAATGGGTTAAGCACCTTGGTTTAACTCTTAACGTCGACATATGCAGTGTCATGTCAATTACCAAAAGAAATATGGGTATAAACTCTTGGTAAGACCCTCTTATGTACCAATTTTATTATTATTTTTTTTTTTTTTATTTAGATTTTTATTTTATGTACCTACATACTTGTAGATTCATAACAATTTATTATTTTATAAACAAGTATATTGTTTTTAATATAAGTAAGTTGCCATCGAATGGCATAACATCTATGTCGACAAGGATAGATATATTTTGTTATTTGTATAGGTTATTTTTTTTACTAAAAAAAAAAAAAAAAATACAAGACAAAATATTGTGACGCCCTACAATTTGCGGACTGAAACTACAGCCTACCTTCACTCTTCCCCTTTATTCAAGCCCCAATTAAAGTGCTTATCCCCCGATCGAAACCAATCTATAATAGCACTTTAACAAGATTTTTTATTTCATCCCCTCCTTCCCACTCCCGTGGGATTTACCTGAAGACACATCTGATATAGGATAAACACCTACCTAACACCCATAATTTCAAGTCTGACCCTTCCCCTGATTGTAAAACAGTAAATATTATTATGGTTTAATGTTTCATGTATCTACCGTATGATAAATAATATAGATCATCACGTACCTGCTATGCAGTAACATCGGTCTGTGGATGTTCGACTCGTTCATCACGCAGAGTTGGGTCAACCAAGAACGTCAGTTGCGGTTCATGGGGCTGCTCTCTTGGGGACTGCTGTCCAGGATATCATTACCACTGGTGGTTTTCTATAGGTTCCATTCAGTAATATTGTTATTACAGATTTGGCAAAAGTCGTACAGCTGAATTATTTCCATTTTGTGAACTGTAGTGATTCGTCGTATAATACGCACAGGCGGAGATCTATTGAAATATGTTTTAGGATACCTACCTAAAATTACCTACCAATTTCCATTGTTTGGCCAAAAATGTTTTCGAATAAATACTTACCTACGAATAAAGTTTAGAAGCCTAATAAATATATAGGTATAGGCAGTGGCGTATTTCCAATATTTTTGTTTGGGGGTTTAAAAATTTTCTAAAAAGGATGATTTTTTTATCATGAACCAGTTATCTCAGAAATACGATATAAACTGTAAATCTGATACAAATATTATGCATATCAAAATTTCAAAAAGTAAAGGTAATAAATGAATAATGGTTTTAAAATAAAGCTCAAACATCTCTGCAGAGATTAAAAAATAATGGAAATCAAATTCACTAAAAATCTTCCGAGATAATTACTGGTTCATGGTAAAAAAATCATCCTGTACAAATCAATGTTATCTTTCTCTATACCTCCGTAACAAATCACTTATGACTTTTGAACCAAATTATTTTGGTTGAGACTCCCCCAACAAAAAAAAAATTAAAAAAATACGCCACTGTGTATAGAAAACCGTTATAGGTAACGCTAACAATAAATGTACGAAAAATAATATGAAGTTTTACGGTCTTACAACCGATAACTGAGATTTGGTCATCGGACGGACAGCTAGATCCGCCTTTGAACTCCGGGTACCTATTATTTTTCAATTTTTAGAACGGTTGTATTAATTTGACGCTTCAAAACTGAAATTTAGTACCAGGAATTCATAAGAAGTCAGCGATTCGTTGGATAACGTTTGGACGCCAAGATGATGCTGTAGGACGAAGGCATTATAATGTACTTATTACATAAATATTTTTAATCCCCGGGTATTAATTAACTTGAGAACTAAAATTATTTTGTAAATCATTTATCATTTTTAATGAACATTTTATGATTCTAAACTTTATTTTTACGTTTTATGTTTTATTTGAAAACATATTTCTATCTAGCGCTGCTAATGTTCTTTTTTGTAACTACCTACAACACTTAATAAACTGAATGTTACGGATTATTTTATAATATCAATAAGTCAAGATTTATAAATGTACCTACTTACCAGGGTTGCCAACTATTCAATTTAAAAAATCGGGACTTTTTCCTATACGAGAAAATTGTATTTTAATTTTAGTATAATAATTTTGAGCATACCATAATATTATGTCATACTTTCTATTCGTTTTTGTGAAAAGCTATTTGCGTAGTGTTGCACATTCGATTTACCTCCATGAGATATTACGTCTTTCCTACGTAATTTACAATGACCATACAAATTGTTATTTTCTGATTTTTGAAGCCGGTTATTAGAACTTTAGCACATTTCACGAAAAGTACCAAGCCTTTTTTCGATGGAGTACTCTGTTCTCCAGGGTCACTCATTTTATATGATTATAATTTAGATACACACCAATTACAAGAAAACATGAAAATAAACAGCACACTGACGGCTCATTCCAAAATAATACATTTGTGCGCGTATCAACGAAATGATTACATATTGAAAAAAAAAAAAACAGATAAAGTAATAATAATAATTCAAGCACGCACTTCTTTACAGCAATCGATCGGATAACGACCATTGATACCATTTTTCAACAGTTCCATCGTTTATACAAATGTGGAAAAGATATTATTATACAATTTATTATTTTCCCTTTATCCTGGGAAAAATTAGACCTGCAACAACATTGATCGCGGGAAAAAGAAAAACACAGATAATTAATGTCCCACTAAAATCGGGGCGGTTGGCAATCCTGTTACCTACACATTTTTTCTAAACAAGTACCCAACTATACAGTTTCAGTTCTTACACTATTTAAGATCCATTTTAAGGGGAGTGAGGGGGTTAAGCTACCTAATTTCCGCCCGTGCGTTTACGATGTTTGTATAATATGTACCTACTTGTGTATTATTATTTGTATAAAAATTATGAAATTACTAATTACAATTTAAGATATGCAATATTGTATTAAGTAGTATTATTATTTATTACATCATTGAAATAAAGGAACAATTTTTTTTTTTTTCATATTTGTTTACTCGTTTTTCTTTCTATTGTATTCATTACGCATATTCTCCCAAGTATAAACTTTATGATATTCTTTTCTAATATGAACGTTGTCACTGATATTTGCAATTCAATGTAAAATAATTGTTTTTAACATAAATATTGAATTGTATCACTTAAAAAAAAAAACCATACATACTATTTGTAGTTAATATAACTTGTGCTCTTATCTAAAACTTTTGCAACAGTAAAAAAGCTGTCCTAGGATAATGGGACGGGTGCAGTCACTGTTATAGGTAATTTGATGTATACCTATAAGCAACAATAACCCATTGCTAACTAAAAAAATTCAGTCAATAGTGATGCTTTGTCAATAATATATATGTCATATTATGGTATAATAATTAAGTAGACATTATATGTTTTCTTTAATATTGTACTGATTTTCAGATATTTTATCCCTATTTTTCACATTTAATGAGAAAATTCCTGAGAAAATCCAAAAACGACCTCCATAAAATACCACCCCAAGAAAGTTTACTTTCAGTAGTGTCTATATTATATACATCAAAATAGGCTTTCTGTTAGAAAAGTTGAGCACTGATAGAAAAATAATAAACATCTTTGTAAAACCATAACCTTCTTCATTCCACTCAGAATTTAAAACTTAACCAATCAAAATGCAGTCAGTCTTTTCAATAATGATTTTGTCTTCAATCAATAACAAAGTTATTAATTAAAAATTTATTTTTCCATTCTCATAATAATTTATTTATTTGAATGAAAAAATGCCCAATTTAACTGTAAACATAAATAATAAGTTTTGAATATGAATTAACATCATGATATAAACAAAAATGATTCAAAGTTCATAAACATCCTAATATTTAAATATTTTAGTACAATCAACAATATCATATTTCTGTTACATTAGAAAACAACAATTGGAATCAATTTTCAATTATAAAAACATTATTTTAGTTGAACGCTTTCAAAAATAAAATATTTAACATTAATAAAACTACAATATTAGCAATATATAACATTTTTATAAATTATCTGTACATATGGAAGAATATTTAAGAAAATTTAAGACAAAAAATATATATAGAAGAATATTTGAGACGATAAAAAAGTCATTTTTAAAAATAATTATTAATTTGTTATAAAAAAACAAATTCAACTACGTTGATAGCAGAGCTACATTTATTTCTTTTACCATTTTAACTCTATTAAGCATTTTTTCAAGTGATTCTTTATTCAATGCACAAGTTGAATACCACACAGGACTATCCGGCACACAAGATCTTTCAGCGGTCAAATAAAACATATCATTTCTCGTCTTAACACTTTCCGGACTGTTAGAACATAAAAACAAAACAGTTCTCATCAAATCAAAGTACTTGGGTTGAATATCAAAAAAATAAATTAAATAATAACCATTTTGATAAGTAAAATTCATAGAGCTTAACAGGACATCTTAAGGGATTTTCTTCGTTTTCATGCTGTTCGTAAACTTTCTTTTTGCGGGAATTAGGAGAATCTACGAAAATATTTTTTAAAAAAGTTAACTTTTTTAAATAAGGCGTTATTAAAGAACAATATTAATATTTACCAATAGATGCTTGTGGAGGGTAAAAGCGCAATAATACATTCCTATAGGTTCCTGGTGCTTTAACACCGGATGTTGATGGCTGCTGATTGGGATTTCTTTTCCAATGTTTCATAATATGAGAAAAAGATAATTGCATATGCTCTTCAACACTCTAAATAAAACAAATAAATATAATATATGTATATATAAATATATATATATGTAAATATACTATCGTAATAAACTTACAGTCAAATTAAAATGTTTGGTATTGAAAAATATCAATGTACATAACAATACATAGGGAGAATGTGCTCCGAGTTGCTTACTTTCCCAAAGATACTCTTCTTCAACTCGTGTAACAATAAATTCTATAATTAAATATTTTATTATTGATACCTTCACAATTTATTAAGTAAAATTTTACAAATTAGTATAATAAATACTTGTATCATTATAGAGTTCAGTAAATCTTTTTGCTACTTCATTTAATGTATCAGTGAATTGTTCATACAAAATATCTGTAAATATATTGTCTATTCTGCCGTTTTCGAATAGATATTGTTGAACACCCAAACACAAATAATAAATTGTGTCTGGCGCGTACTCGTTTCCATTTGGTTTTCGAACTTCTTTTACAAACTGACTTAGAGAATAATTCAGTTCACTAGCAGTCAACTGAAGAAGGTCTAACTTGAATATATTTGTTTTTTTCACACTACACACATTGCTGGACAGTGTTTTCTCAAATTCAATGCTCTTCATTGATGCCCATTGGCGCCAGGCCGTAACTCCCAAAGTATACTTGAGACACATATTTGCATCTGGTTTGACCGCGGACATTGGAATAGAATATAGGGAGTTTTGTACCATTTGTTGTTGGTCTAATCCAGTAGATGATTGAATGCATTGGGGATATTCATTTTTGCGAGAACGTTTTACATTTGAGCTACGTTGCGACTGGGTCCGAGGTGCACGTTTTCTCGGTGGACGGCGTAGCATATCTTGAGGAGAAGATATCATATCATCCTGAGTTATATCTTTAAAATATATACATAAATATATATTATTCTTCAAATTAATTTTATTTTAATAACTTCTAAACTTACTATTCATTGGATCAGGTGTTTGAGGCATAATTGTAGATGATACCAAATTTGCTTCAACATCATCAATAATTTGATTTACTTGATTATTTGAACTAATAGTAGATATGTCATTAGCACCTTCTAAACTTTCTGTATCCGCTCCTGCCATATTTAAAGCAATTGCAAGTACATCATCGCTAAATGGATTATGATTACGAGCACTCGAAGAAACAACTTTGGTATCATCGTTGTATTCTAAAAAAATTATTTTTTTTTACATACAGATCGAATTTACAATAGTTATTTTATTACCGCTATTTGATTCATCGTTTTCACTATCTGATGATGAACTTTGTCCATTTTTTTGATCCTCGGCTACCATGCCTGCCATCATTAACAGTTCTGCTTCGAAAGGATCGGACGGAGTTTCATCTTTGATTTTCTTTAAATTTGAATAGGTATATAAATTTAATTTATATGAACAACTATTTCAAGTTACCTTTATATCTTTGAAGATTCCTTTGGCAGTATTTTTAGTTGTAGGTATAAAAATTGGAATTGGCAAAGGTATAGGGATTGGCACAGGAACTGGGTATGGCATTACATACATGTGCATAGGCATTGGAACATAAACTGGTACCGGAACTGGTATTATTATTCCTTTACTACCTGTTTGATCTAAAGTAAAATAATATTCGAATAAACAAATAATTTAAAAATCAATTAACCAAAACTTGGATTTAAATAAAAATTCTTATTTACCTGTTTGAACTTCTTTATTAACCATAGGTAATACATTGGTATCTTCATAATTGATTTTTCTACTAACTTTATTTTTAACTTTAGAAGGTTTTTGATAGGTATTATTTATTCCGTCACTCTATAGGAAAAAAAAAATATTAATACATTTTTTTCACTAAGCTATATCATGTTATTAATTAAATAAATAATTTTCACTTACATCGGATAAATAATTTTCTTCTTTGCGAGCAGACTTCCTGGTAGATACTCGTGAAACTGAGGATTGTTTTTCTAATTTCAATTAAATACAGTATATGATTTAATACTAACTAATATAATGTAAAAAAAAACCTTTTTTCCAAACCTACCATTTTTGAATTTAGATTTATCTTTTTGCCTTTTACCAGTTTGAAATGAATTTAAACAGTTTCGACTACAAAAATTATAGGTGGATGCATTAATAATTGTTTTATGGCGTGCTTGTGATGACAAACCACACTTATCACAAATAATTCTAATAAATAATTTAAAATTGTTAACAATAGTACGTAAATTACATTCTTAAAATTAAATTCATAGATAATACTTTTTAGATTTTGACTGTGGTAACTCTTGTAGTTGATGCAAACAGTTCAATGAACATATATAAGTATGACCACTGGAAGACACATTTTTGGTGGAAATCATATCAAAACTGAACTTTCTGAACTAAAAAACCATAGTGCAAAATAATTACAAAATGTTTTATTTTTAAATATTATATTGGTATTATTTAAAACATTATTTTTACAACAGTATTATAGATATAACTCTATAAATATTCACAAATAAAAGAAACTTACTTTACATAAAAAACAAGAAACAGATCTCTTTTTAAATACAATAAATTTATTTAGACATTGGTTTGAACAAAATTTAAATAACATATTTGTGTTACTAAATATTCGAATATTATTTGCAGATGAAGAATTTAATTTACAGAAGCAAACCTTGCACTTATCTATTAACAAATCAATAAATAAAAATTATTAATTATTGTTATTATAATATATATTGTATAACTATAAGAAAATATTATAAGATTAACTTGCCAATGGCACGTGTTGTTTCATGGGCACCATAATCGACAGAACTGTCTGGTTCAATATGTTTTTTCTTTGATTCATAATCTTTAGTTTGACAAAATGACGAACAGAATTCCTTCAAAATTGAATTTAATACAAAATAAAATAGTAGCAATAAAAAAGTCTAATATATAAAAATCTTACTTCAAATTCACAATCATCATCTAATTCCTTTTGACAAAAAACACATAGATTTAATCTTTTTTCATAGCTTTCTATGCAAGCAGTTTCACAAAATTGTAATATTTTTCCAGAAATAAAACGACAATATTTTCCTAAATTGTCTGATTTTATTAATATCTGACAATTTAAACAATTCAAATTAAAAATTCTAGTTTGAAAATTATCTGTAAAAATAAACACTTATATATATATATATATATATACATACATCTAATATTGTTATTAATTATAAATGAATAATACTCACTTAAGCAAATGACCGAACAAAAATGTTTTGTTTGCCAACAAAATGTCTTTTCTTGATTCTCTGAAATCACTGATAGACATTGTTCGCATTTATTTTCAAGATTGTACTGATCATTTTTCTTACGATAACTAGCCACACAATCTTCTTGGCATAAATACATAGATTTATAATCTTTCACAGAAAATTTACATAAACGAAACTGTAAAATAAGTTAAATAAATATAAATTAATTAGGTTGATGAAAAAAAAAAACAATTGTAAATAAATACCCTGTTACATTGACAGCAAACTTTTTTCAGTGGTGAAGATAACCCTTCAATTATATCTATAATCTGTTCATCAATAGTATCTAAAGGTTTTATTATTTCTTTAGCTATTTCCTAAAGTACAAAAAATAAAATAAAATAATTGTGTACATTTTATATTATGAATTATAATGACTCATAACCAGATTTTGTTTATTTACTCTAATTTGATTTTCTGCTTTTTTTGCAGCTTGTCGCTGTGGACGAGAACTTGTTTTCAGAAGCGTTTCATCCGATTCATTAGACACATGCTGTTCTGGATATAATTCAGCACTTAATAACACATTATTTTGATTCAAATTTTCCTCACTCACAGAACAATCATCATGCATTATTATATCTTCATTTGAATTTGGTTTTTTTAAAACTATTTCTTTGTCGCTAATTTCATTTGAATCACTATGTCTTATAGATTTCAAAACATCAATTGGTGGCAAATCTACAACAAAATATAATTTTAAAATAAATTAATATAATCTAATTAAGAAGTAATAAATTGAAATTTACCTATCATAATATTATTGTTGGTTATTTGGTCAGTTTCATTAGTTGATACTTCAATATTTTCATTTAGGTTTTTTGTGATTTCATTATGAACAGAATCTGCGACAGTAATTGCAGAGCTGTTTTCCACCATAGCAGAACTATTATTCATACAACTTATTGCGTCTACATCTGTTTGATGGAGAATATGTTCACTGTCCATTAACTTTGTGTTATCAGTTATGTCATCAGTTTGTTTTTTTAAATCATCTATTTTTAGTTTTTCATTTATTGAGTTATTTTTTGCCGACATACCCAAACAGTGCATAATATTGTCAGAATTTTCAACAGGTTCACAAACTTCTGCTGAAATATCTATACAGTTCTCAGGAATAGCTTCCACAATATAGTTATGATCAGTTTTATCGCTATGAAACGATTCTAACGACTTGACAAACGGCAACGACTGCTGATCCACTGACAGTTCGTCAGTGGCATTTAAATGTTCAGACATTGCACCTACCTACACTTTAAAAAAGAAAATCGATGAGTTTTTTAACACTGTAGATAATAAAATACTTAATTAATAATTAAAAAAAAATAAATGTATTGAATGCAAAACACATCCAAGCAATAATTTATTATTATTAAATCTTAGAAATTTAGAATTGAATTAAATAAAATAACTTAAAAACTCGAATGTCTTATCTGTACATAAATATCTTATGAATTCATTTTTAAAGATAACACGAAAATCGGTATTCTTGGGATGGGTACACTTTTTCCTAAACCATGGAAAAGTATCCGAGCCCCTGTACACTTTAATCTTCCAAGCAATCAATATGTTAGGTTATAAATTTGACATAGTCACATACTCTATGCACAGATATATTATACAGTATATATATATGTATAATATTATCATATATATATGGTAGTGTGGTCTAACATTTTGAGATATTTGTTGATTATCTATAATCTATGGTTTTAAACACTGTCTTAACGTTATAGTAATTTTAACCAATGCTGTAGATAGCTATTGTATTTACAATTACATATGGATATGAATACACGATGCGACTTACCGAACACTGATTAAAGAAGATCTATCAAATATCAATATTTAATATCGTTCAGGTTCACAATTTACTTGTATTACAGCTTCATATTTACATTTTTGTATACTTGTATTTTTTAATTTTACGTACAATGGAGAATACCAAACAAGACGTTAATCCCAGAATACCGTCAGCAGTTTTTGTGGTATTTAAAAACTTATATTACACTATATTATAATGCATCTATTTGAACATTTTTCATAATGTTTGAATATTCACTATACAGGACGATGTTGATAAATTTATGGAAAAATCAGAAAACAATAGCGTCGAAGAAGTTTTAAAAAGATTGGATGAACAACATAGCAAATATAAATTTTTTGAATATAATTTAATCACAAAGAGAAAAAGGTATACTAAATGCATTATTTATTTTTTTTGTAAACTTTATTAGACAAATACAAATTAACGAATCTTTGGTGGCCATATAAATGTTATTTTTAACAATCGTAATATATTTTGACAAGTGATTGTGAATTAGTAGATGTTTCAGTTAAAACATTTGAAAAAGATAATATTGTATAATATATATTATATTATATATATTATATTGTATAATGTATATTAAATTCTAAGAACTAAGTAAGGCCTAAAGAATTCTACTGCAATACTTGCACTATAAAACAGATTTACAAATTTTTCTAGGTTGTCTGAAAAATCATTTGTATTTAAAAAGTATTTATTAAAATTATATCGGTAGGGGAATGTGCAGCCCTCCTCCTAAATCCACCACTGCTATAAAATAATTTCATCGATGATTAATTCTAAAACTAAAATTTCCTTTGTACCTATTTAATTAATAGATCAACATTTGTTTACTATCCTAAAAAATATTGACAATCTGTTAATTTTTGTGCAAAATGATATCTAGCTGATAATTATCCCAAGTAACAACTGTTTTCTTATTTATGTTTATTAAGTTTACTAGTTGAAACACTGAACTTAAAATTTAATGTGTAGAAAACAAATTATTTTATAATTAATTTTAGTAAGTGTTAATCATACATGTGTTGTATTTTGAACTATTACAGATTACAATCACAATTACCGGATTTAGAAAATACTTTGGAGATGATTAAAACAATGAAAGGTCATAAAGGACAGCAGTTAAAGACAGATTTTCTATTGTCTGATGATGTTTATGCAAAAGCCCATATTCAAGGAACTGATAATGTGTATCTTTGGCTTGGTGTAATTATTTTAATTTTTCTCTTCAAAAACATTGGTTAAGTTTTATATTGTTCGCTTTATTGCAGGCAAATGTCATGTTGGAATACAATCTTGATGATGCCACAGAACTTATTTCAAGAAATATACAATTGGCTACTGATAATATGAGACAAGTTGATGATGATCTTGATTTTTTGAGGTACAGTTTTAATATTTGATAAATATGAAAATTATAATTTTTTTATTTATATATAATTGACAAGTTTGTAATTATTTTCAGGGATCAGTTTACTACAACCGAAGTAAATATGGCCAGAGTATACAACTGGGATGTGAAACGACGACAAGCAGCTAAAGCAAAACAATAGAATTATTATCAATATAAAAATAATAACTAATAAATGCTTTTTCTGATAAAAAAAATTTAACCTATATATTTAAGCAATTTCATTCACTTAACTTATAAAATCATTATTGTCAAAAATTAATAACATTTTATTAACATCACTTTATTCAAAAGAAATATAGTTAAAATATAACATTTTTTCTATTTTCTTGAAAGCTGATAATTATATTACAAATATTTAATTGTAATAAATATAATTAAGACACATATGGTGGACATGGTTTTATATCTAATTATAAAAAAAATTATACCATAATACATATATACATGTATACAAATTTGTAATTAATTAAATCAAAAGTGAAAATAGATTAATGTACTTATTTGGATAACTTCAAATTGCTGGTAAAAAAATATATTAGAATTTTATTAATTTTATTTATATATAATGTGATATTGCAAGAACTAATTCGTCCAATGTGTAATCTTCTGCTAACGTTAGTTTACTGTTCAGTGTTGAAAGTAAGGACTTTAAAATTTTATAATTTTCTGCGTCTAGTTTTGATATTAGTTTACCTATCTGCAGAGCTATTGAACTGGACACTTCAGTTTTTATCATTCTGTAAAGTAAATACAATATCATTTTACTTATATTATTTAAAATAAAATACCATAAATGATAAATCTATTACTCATTAACAATAGAAGAAACATTTTAATTATGTATCAAACAAACATATATATTATAAATAATATAAATATTACCTTTCTTCAGAGGTATTTTCAGAAAAACATACTATTCGTTCACATAATGATGCAATATATGATATTGATTTTTCTGCAGACATTTTATTTATAGTATTATTTAGTTTCAAATATTCTAATAGAGTCAAACTATCCAACATAGTATTGGGTAATGACCCTTCCACTTTTGACCCTTCTGTTAACCAATCCAGTAAATATGTTAAAGTTATTTTGCCATCTAATTTAAAAAAAAAAAAAATCATAAAATAAAACTATTTTTAAAACAATTTAAAAAAAAAATAAGAATACCTTTTTGTAAAATATAATCTGCAAGTAAATGACTAACCAGTACATTGTGAGCATCTTGCCAGTTTTTTGCTTTCAAGTAGCAAATTGTTGCTTCTAAGTATCTAGAATATGTTATCAAATAAATACAATAAAACTAAAACATTATCAATGATTTAATATCATACTTATATTTTGTCATAGCAAGAATAGCCTTTGCATTATATATAATCCCTTCATTTATTTTTAACTTGTTTAACACAAATATTTCCTTTTCGGAAAGTACAATTTCGTAATTATTACATACTGGTAATTCAACATTCCTTCCGACTGTATCTTCAATTAACCTTTCTCTTCTAAAATAATAAATATACTTGTTAATATGTACTCGTATCATAATATTATGATGTATTAATTGAATATATTACAATTCTTCATCATTTATATGCAGAAGAACAAATACAGCCCATTGCCACAATCCATGTGATACCAACTGTGCAGCAAAATTTGTATGCAATTGACTGGCATATATGTCAGGCATTTGTGTATAACCAAGCGATTGTAATGTATTGTACAAAAGCCAACTAAAATTGAAATCTAATGGATCCGGAGTGTGTGTAAGAGGATTTACAATTTTATAAATTTCATATGATGAATTGGTGTACAGTTTCAACAGGTGGTAACAAACATCATACGTAGCAAATTGATCATCGATATCCACAGCACTGTCATTGTTATACGTTTTATATGGTTTACACGCATAGAAATCTTCGCCCTCGTATGCATTTTCATAACAATCTAATGCGTCTTTAATAGTGCCCGAAGGGGGCTGTATATACCTATAAATAATTGTATGATAAATAACACTCAGTTTTAAAAAAAAAATTGTAACATACCACAGATGTAAAGCAAAAGCTCTGACCCAATCTAAATTTTCACAGACATTGATTATTCCTTGATTCGAATCGAATAAAGGTTTACCAGATATCATTGTGTATAATTTGAGATGATCAATATCAATAAACAAATCCGCTTTACTACTGCACCATTGCCAGAGTTGACGTTGAATGCAACATCGAATAGAATTTTCACTTCCTAATTGTGCTAATAACATTGCCAAATTGCATTCATCTATAAACAATTATTAATATTAAGAACATTATATTATATTAGTTATAAACATATTTTACATACTAGAAGAAATAGCTAAATCACATGCTTCCATTATTTTATGGACTGAAACTAAATTAAAAATTTTCCGAGATGTATTTTCATTAGTGTTAAAATCCATCGTTTTTTCCAATAAAGCTTCCAGCCAATCAGAGACACCTTGACGTCTAGCCATATTGTATGAATGTTCTTGAGGACTATTCGTAACATTCGCAGTTTCTGAATCGCCCCATAATGCTTTGATCAGCTCCCAAACATGTGCATATCGTTCTTCTTCGGATAATTCAGAAAAGTGAGCCACCAGAGAACAATGTGAATGTAACGCTTCAACTCCAGATTTTGGATAAAAATATGGAATGTTTTTGCTTTCAGTGTCACAATTACTATTCAACATACAAATTTGTAAATGTTCTGTCATTAATTCCTAAAAAAAAAAAAATTATAATTAAATAAATAAATACATAAATTTAAATGATTAATTTGTAGTTGTGGATTTATTTTTAATATATCTCACAATGAATGTCTCTGTTTGATTAGGAGTCACAATTTGTATCTTTTGAACAATTGTTGGAGAACACTCATCATGTCCACGTCCAGACAACTCTGTTGATAAATGACTGATATCCAATCTTTTTGATGTTAAAAATCTTTCTTTGGATTTTGTATTAAGTGTTAAGAAAGTTAAATTGTTTGACCAAGGAACTTTGAATGATGAAGTATTTATTAATGCCAATTTACTAAAATTGCAACTATTCTTGAATTTTACTTCAAATGGCAAACGAATATTAGGATTATACTTCAAACTAAATCGTTGGGCTTGAAGCTGTTATAAAAAATACATACGTATATATTTATTTAATAATATTATATTATGGATTAATATGCAAATTACTTACTGGGGCAGTTAAAATTGGTTTTAAAACTTCAACTGCTTGAACTTTCTTTTCTATAAATCATTAATACAATTTAATTAGTAACACATCAACTTTGTAATTTAAATATTATTATAGAATTCTAAACATTTTTGTTCTTATATAAGTTAATATCATATTAGTATAATATATTATGAAATATTAGAAATTTTATTTTTCATGTTTAATAATATTAATACTACACTAAAATTTCAATTAAGCAACTCACGCTGTACACCAAAAAGATTCTTATAATGAATTCAAAAATTGCATTATTTGAAATGACCTATGTTCTGGAGGGTTTTGTTTCTAGATTTCGGAGAACAATTTATGAGTGGCTACCTTACTAGCAAATTGAATAATAAACTTTAAGATTAAAGAAATAACTAAATAACTAAATTTCTAAATTGCTTAAAATAAGAATTTTTAATTAAAAAAAAAAAAATAGAGAATATTTTTAATGATTTCTGTACATTATCTAAATGCATTTAAAATTGATTAGTACAGAAGAGTATGTTCATTTTTGGAAAATATTGCGATAATTACTTTTCAAAAAGGCAGATAATAATGTAACTTACTCATTTTTACGTCTAGCTCCTATTTTATTCTTTTAGATACTGAGTGGAGCAACGAAGCTTATAGTTTTACTAATGTAAATTTAATATTAACAGCACAAGAAAAATGTGTAATTATTATTAGTAATTATTTGTAATAATTGGTGGGACACACTGTATAGGTAACACAAATAAATTATTAAATTAGCCATCTCCAAAAAACACAAAACACTTTTTATATACAGACGACCTAGGAATCACATCTCAAGATACGACTATCAATAATGTACTAATAACAAACTAACAAATGCAATATAAGTCAAAACCAACTATTATGACAGCAATCAATTAAAACCTAACCTCATGTACCTGGCCGCCACCCTAGATAGGACTTTGACATTTAAGGAGCATTGTTTTAAAATGAAAGTACAAGTATGTGAACAATTGGACTGATCCTATGATTCTCAACTAGAGAATATACAATATACATGTCAGGGGGAGCCAATCTAAACACACCAAGCATGTATCTGTAACACTGAACGATATTTGCAGGATCATAACAGGATGTCTTAGGTCTCTAGTTTACATACTGGTTATATCTTCTAGTAAGCATAGCTCCATCCAAAATTAGAAGACAAGTAACTACCAAAAAATAAGATATGCCTTATATTCGGACATTAAATTATAATAATAAGACTTAAATTCAAAGAAGTTTCATACACATAGCAAAAGAACTGCATAAATCCTCACATAAAGCCAGACTACAAAGGTGGTAAGATAAGCTACAACCAGAAGAACCTATATGGCCAACTCAACAACTCCTGTGGGGTGAAAACTTACCATGACCACTGTTGAAAATTGTACATAGATTAAAAGCTAGAGTGGCAAAGACTAAATCTAAATAATCTAAGACTAAGTTTTTGAATTCGAAGAACAACAAACAGATGAACACATTTTATCATGAAGATCAGAAGATGATCTAGATATGGCTATATTACTAGTTATGAATTAAGATGATGCTATATATTTACACACTTTACTGTGCTTTGTTGAGATTTGCCTTGGAATTTGGGCTGTGTTCTAGAATCCATCCCAGGTTAGGTCTAATCGAGAAACTTGTGAAATTACAAAGATATAGATGTTTAATTTTAAAATAGGCTTTAAAGATATGTTTATCTCAAATATCGATAATCATATCAATCTAGTATTTTAAGCTGTTATTCAAAAGTACCTGAATATTGTATTTGTGTATAAGTTATTAAATGGGAAATTTAACAGTCTAGAGTTATTATCTAAGATAACCAGAAACAAAATGACCTTCCTTGTTTCACTTAGTACTTTGAATTACCTAAATAGTTCATTATGCTGCTTGCTCAAGTCATATAACTAAGATAAGTTTGATTTTAATTTTGACCCGATTATATGTTAATTATGTTTTCTGTCAGATTAGCAATAAGTTATACTACTTGCAACTTACCCTTGCGGGTGTTAATAACAATAAATATACGTGACTAATTATACCAAATTCGTTACCTAATTATTTAATTTATATTTTTATTTAAGTTTATATTTTTATTTTATTGTTATTGACATTTTCTAATTGGATTCAACTTAATGTTATTAGATGAAGTCAACACCTTACACTTTTAACAATTTAAAAACTTTTGTCTATTAACATTTGATCTAGTAAATTAAAAAAAAATTAAAAACTAAATCATAAATATGTTAACAATTATAAATTTAACTAATAGTTTAAAAATGTATTATTAAATACATTATCTATGATTTTATAATAATTGATATCATCCAATAAACTAATTAAGTTAGAAGAATACATTAATAACCATATGGTTTATCAAATAAAACTAATTAGTATTCACAAAAAAAAAAAATAAAAAATAAGTGGCCATGACAGGGATTCTGGCCATAGGTAACTCAACCTTATATAAAATTGTTGGGTTATAGTACCACATTTTGGTATAAAGAAGCTACCTTTCTGACAAACCATTAAATATATGCTGAAGCATATAAATATCTGTCATAGTTATAACTACACACTTAATATGAGGTATTAAAAAAGAATTATAAACAAAAATAAAGATCTAATATATCAAGAATTTTCTTTTACAACCCCAAAAATAATTTACTTTGCTTAGAGATGAAAAATTTTGGAGATCCTTGATTATTTATCGGGGTTATTAAAGCTTTTGACTTTGACAAAATTTCTCGATTTTTTGGACTAACTGAAATAATGTATTCTGGAATTGTTTCCAAAATTTTTTCCAATTTGTCTTCAAATTTATCTTTTTGTCCTGCAACATTAAATTATAAATATGATACATTCTATAATTATACTAAAGATACAACTTTTTGGTTTATACCATAAGTATCATCATCTAGTTCCATAGGTTCAATTTCATCATAAAATATGTCATCAAATGAAGCTTTCATACATTGTATTTTATGGGTTTGTAAATTCATATTCTGTGATATTTGAGCAGTCACATTTATGCTATTTTCTTTACCATCTAGAATAATAAATAAATTGCTCAATTGACCAGCTTTTTAAGAAAAATAATAATAATAAGCAATAGCTATGCTATTATAAAATTAATTAATACCATAATAATGCATAATATGTGAATCGCCAGCTGATGGATTCATAGCAGGAAGTTGAATATTTGATTTTAACAAATATTGATGTGGAGATTGAGCTCTGTCAAGACCCATAGAAAGATCTAATAATGGTTTTATAACCTGCTGATATACATTAATAATATTTATAATATATATCTAAAATTTGAAGGAAATATAAATTTATATTTACATTTTGTTTTGGGCTTGCAATTTCAGTTTGTTTTGTGATTACTTTAGGTTTCTGTGTAACAGTTTTTGTAAGAGTTTTAGGGTCCACATCAAGCTCCACTAAGTTTACCACTTTTTCTTCTTCATCATCATCAGAATCTATAAGGGCATACTTTGAAAAATGTTCAACATTAAACACCCACGATCCTGTATCTGAACGATAATCTATAAACTGAGTGCCCAATTTAACGCATGCTCTTTGAAGCTTAGCAACAAAATTTGTAGCTGCAATACGATCAGGGTTAGTAATTGGTTCTTTTGAGGTTTTATCATTAGGCCAGACACGATCTAATGTAACAGTAGCTTTTCTATTTAATCCTTCACCTAATGGAGGTTTGGTTTCATCATCTTGATAAATTATAATTTCTCTATGCCTTATATGAACTGGAATAATTATGCAAGTTATTAATAAATTACAAACATATGTTAAGTAAAAAAGACATAAAATATGACTAATCAAAATAATAATAAGTCGTACCAATAGAATCCAAATCTAAGCCAGAAACATTAAAACGATCAGGAAAGTAAACATTTCCATAATCATAACGACCTATAGTGAACCCATCAACAATACATAATCCATTATCATCTAATATTTCCACTAATTCATTTAAAGGTGGAATAGTGTAGTATCCAACACGTTTCAACTTTATCCCAGTAGGATGATCTTCTTCTACTAGAACATTGGAATCAATTGAAGTTTCTTGGTTATCTAAGATAACAGTATCTAAAAAAAATAATAACTTTTTAATAAATGTATAATCTCTAAAAATAAAATGAAGATTTATTTTTAGATCAATATTTAGACCTATCATTTACCTACAAATTTCTGAAAATATTTTGGTGCCATTTATGTATTATTACTTGTTAAAAATTATAAATATAAATACAATATACAGGCTTCCCACAAAGATATACCCCTTGAATATCTCCAGAGATAAAAAAGACAATCAAATTATGTTTTTTTTACATTACTCACAGAGATGAGAACTACAAATATGTATATTTGAATTAGTTTTTTCTTTAAAAAATTAAAAAAAAACTTTTTATTTTATTATTTTTAAAAAATTAAACAATTTGTTTATTTTTAAAAAATTAAACAATTTGTTTATTAAAAAAAAATTAAACTAATTCAAACATTATAAATATTTGTACTTCTCATTCCTGTTAGTAATATAAAAAAACATAATTTAATTATCTTTTTTATCTCTGGAGATATTCAAGGGGTATATCTTCCTGGGACAGCCTGTACAATAAAATTATGAACATTTTGCTTACTATTATTATCATTTTTATAAGTATCATTGGCTTCAGTTCCTTTTGATGAATTTAAACTATTTTGTTTATTTCTTTGTAATTGAGCGATTGTGTCATTTTCTTCATTAATAGATAAATCAACTTGCTGTGAACCACCCTCTCCGGGGGAACCTTGTTTATAAGAAAAATATTGCTCCAACCTAAAATAAATAAAAAATTTAACTATTGTGCATATTTTTATAATGGCCATATAAGTATATTACTTTGCAAGAGGTTTAGTATGCATAACTATACTATTTCGATTTTGCAATTTGGTTGAATCGTTAGATTCTTTTTTTAAATTCAATTTTTTACAGCTGGATCTTGGTGAAGTAATATTAAATAATAACACACTATCAGCTTTATCCTGGTTTTTTATTGAAGGAGGTGATTCATCAAGTCCATCAAATAAAGATTTACGATTAAATTGTGGGAAATTTCTACGAATTGTTGGTGTACTTTTAGGCGTTGGTATTGGAGAAACTTTATAACTACCAAACTTCTCTAGCGATATATTTTGTGATCGCACAAGAGATAAATCATCTACTTTTGATACATCCTAAAAATACAAACATTCAAATTTTAAACAATTATAAATAAACACATTTTTATTGCTTTCAAAATTTACCTTATAAAATCGTTTAAACAATGGGGAATCGCCATATGGCATTGCTTTTAATGTATCTAATTGTAATTGCAGTTGATTACTTTGTGATGATTGATTTGTAGATAGTTGAGAGCTATTAGTGCTATACAGTAAAATGTAAAAATAAAAAAATGTATGACAGTTAAAGGTTATTAATATAAATTAATTACTTTCCAAAAAGCCCGATTCCAGTGCTTTGTGTATTGTTTCCAAAAAATGAAGTTCCTCCAGTACCAAAAGCATTAGTGTTAGATGATCCAAAAAGTCCAGTTCCTTGAGTTCCTTGTCCAAATAGTCCACCAGGTTTTGTGGCATTATTAAATACACCTATTAATGGTTTTTATTACTATTATAACAAATTAATGCCAACAGTATAATTAATATTGATATCTATAGAAAATATAATAGGCAAAACAACTAATATTTAAATATCAATGGATTATTTTGATTCTACTCAACAATTATTAAAGTGTTAGTACAGGATGATTATTTAATCACCTCTTTGAACACTCAATATTCCAATAAGTATTTGACTTTTAAAATGTTACATTAACACATCAGTGGTCACAATGTGAGCATGGCGCTCACTTTGTGAGCCATGCTTACACATGCCTAACAGGGAGAGAAACAGACCATAATTTATTTGGAAACGTTTGAAATGTTCCACTACCTAAGCTTAAAAATTTAATTAATGAGTGTTCAATGATAAAAGAATCACCTTGCCAATTTATTCTAATGCTTAAATGTTGGCAGTAAGTGTATTGGATTTTTTTTTTTAAATTTTAAGTTAAGTTAATTTTTGTTAATCCTTATATTTTACAAGAAACTAAAATTGTATAAACCTGTTTGTTGATTAGCCGATTGATTAAATAATGATGTAGTTGGTGCTTTATTAAAAGCATTAGATCCAAACAAGCTACTCGTAGTTGGTTGAGCTGTTGGTGTAGTTCCAAAAGCATTGTTTGTACCAAAAGCTGGAGTAGCAATTTGAAAACCTGTATTAGCAGGTTTACTTCCAAAAAGACCATTTGCACTTGTTGAAGTATTGGTTCCAAAGCCAAAACCAGTTGTTGTCTGCGTTGATCCAAGACCAAATGCTGGTTTGTTTTGTCCAAATAAATTGGTCTATATATTACAAAGTAATAAATTTAATATTTTCCTTTAACAAATCCAAATGTTATAAGTAATATTAACTTGATTAGGTTGTCCAAATCCGGCTTGTCCAAATCCTGGAGTTTGAGTACCAAAAGTTGAAGGCGCAGTACTTCCAAATAAATTTGTTTGGGGACTAGCAACTTAATTAAAATAAATAAATATATAAATATATATATTATTGATAAATTCCAGAGTATTAAACAAGTTATTAACGATTATGGAAACCATATAAAATACAATTTTTCTATTTTTACCTAAAACTATAATTAAGAGAACACCATACTTGTATTTGCTGTCTCCATCATATAACTACACACAACATTCATTCATTCATTTTCATATAGCAAGGACATCTTTGTACTATTAGTTTTAATATTAGAATAAATTGACCTATTATCAAACTCAAAAATAAAAAACATTATCTGTGACGTGTCATCGTTTTCTTTCAAACCTATTTAAATATTTAAGTTCAGAGTGTTATTGTTGGGCAGCTTCTCTCCTTACTCCTACATGTCATTTTTAATATATCTGAACGCTCATATGCTCATTGTAAATATCATTACAGATTGTACATATAATAATAAATGTTACAAAAAAATATATAAATAAATATTTAAGCGAGATCTGAGTGTTTGAAATATCATGATTTAACAATGCTTATAGCTCACTAAAAATTAAAATAATGAAAAACAAAGTCAAAAACTTTACACGTCCTTAAGTTTCATAAAATTTCAATCAATTCACTCTAATATTAACTAACAACACAGAGTTATCTCTACTAAATAAAAATGTATTATTTCGCGTTGTTATATAAAGGAGACAGTATCTTATTAAAACATTTTCTAAAAACAACCTTAAAACCATAGAAATTAAATTAAAATTCCAAACAAAGTTTGAAGATTTAAAGGATTTAATATCCAATAAAAGTGTAATAAAATTTATCACATATCCAGAATTGGACTCGTGACAAATTACTAAAATGGCACTAATATGAAATTTAAGAATTCCAACTTAATTTATTTTAAATGTGAATAGAATATACTCTATGAAAATTTTTGATTGTGATTTATTTGTTTTCATTAACTATACATCTGTGATTTCATTGTGTAACAAACAATATTTCTCTGAGAAACAATGTCAACAATATTTGTAGTCAAATTGAACTTGTTAATTTATTAAAAACACATTGCATACATACCTATATATTTAGGAAACATACAAAATAAAATTTAAGATACGAATTAAATGATATAAACATTATTTTTACCGTTAGAATTTCAAACCTCCAGATGTTCATACACTACGTACAAATATGCAGAAAACATATAATTTTAAGCTCTACTCTTTATTTTTTATCTCCCCCCCCCCAAATCAGATACATTACTTTTATGAAAAAAATACCTCCAAATGGTTTAGATGTTTGAGCTGTGTTTGATCCAAAAATACTTGGTTGCGTTGTATTCATTCCAAAAGATTGGGTTGATGTTTGAGTGCCAAATGCTGGGGTTGTTTGTTGTGGCTTTCCAAATATACTGTTCTGTGTACCAAATACATTTGAAGTGGTAGGATTTCCAAAACCTATAAATTAAAAATATTCACCAATAAAGGGTATATTACAATATATATGCATAAATTGTATTTGTTATCAACAATTTTATCTTAATGAATACACTCATTAGAATTTTAAATATTTTAGTTAATTTAAAATATAAAAAAAATAATAAAAATACAAAACTCTTAATTTACCTCCGAGTGCAGGTGTAGTTGATGCGGTACCAAAAAGTTGTTTATTATCATTTGTTCCAAATAAACCAGTACTTGTAGTTGCAGTTGAACCAAATAATGTTTTAGGGGATCCAAATAATCCACTTCCAACTGCACCCTTAATAGAAAAAACATACAATTTAATTGGTTAAGTTAATGTTACAATAAAAATTATAATTATGTTTATGATATTAGAAAATAAATACAGAGTGATCCATTACTGGTAGCTACACAAAGCATTAGCTTTTTACTACAATTTTTTTTTCTTTTTTGACAATTTAAGAAACACGTAGTTCTAAAATGTTACATTAATATCTTTTTTTGAAAACAACTAACTACTTTTGATTTTTTGACAGCCTATCTTAAAATTCCCATAAATAGATGGAATATTATAATAAATAAATTCTGGTATTGACATTTTTTCAATTATTTAGAAGCTATGTTTCATAAATTATCAAAAATTTTTTACGAAAAGTCCATCATTTTCAAAAATACTGAGTGTAACCACTTAACTCATCCTGTATGTTTAAATATAAAATAATATCAACATGTGAAACAATTTATATATTTAAATTACCTGTTGTCCAACTTTACGATTAACACAATAATCTTCAAATCTGAGTTCCTCAAATATTTTGGATTCATACTCTTTCATAACTGTGATTGATTGATGTCTAGTGTTTATAGTTTGATTAACACCATTTTTCACCATTGTATCAGTTCCAGTCACAGAATTAAATTTTATGGGTGTACCGCCAGTAGACGTTGCCCCAAATCCAGAACTAGCACCAAAGGTACCTAAATATTATTGTTACATGATGCTATTTACTTATGAATACAAAATGAAAGATGAATTTATCTTAATATGTATACATTGAAACATATTTAATATTAGGGGAATATTTGATCTTATTTTAAAATGTATAATATGCATGTTACTAATTTTTCTATGATATTATGTGACAGTGACATAAAAGAAAAAGAAAATATCACTTCTAGTTTTTGATTTAGAACTGCAACAGATTTTATTAAATAAAAAGCAATAGTACATACAGGCCTAGATTAAGAGGGGCCAGAGGGTCCCCTGATCTTGGTTGGTAGTATTATAAGTCACCAATATTTTGAATAAGTTTATGGGCCCCAAAAATTTGTTTGGCCCCAGGCCCAAAATTATCTTAATCCGGGTTTGAGTACATAATATATGTAAGGTCTATGTTGGCAGGTTATTAAATATGTCATGGAGAATTTTGAATACAAAAATGAACAGCGCTTATACTACCACTGAATTTAGGAACACAAAGGTTTTAATATTGGATAAACGAAGTTAAAAAAGATTTACAACAGATGGGGGGATACAGAACTGGAGAAATGTTGTCAAAGACCACGATGAGTGGAGAATTGTTTTGGAAGCTAAAGGCCATCATGATCTGTAAAGCTTATGAGAAGAAGACAGGTTTCAATATATAATTAAATAGTTAATAATACCTGCAGTAGAAGCACCAAACATTCCGGTATTAGCTGTACTTGTCTGAGGTGTACCAAAAATATTTCCAGTCGGCTGAGCAGCAGGTGCTCCAAAAGAAAATCCTGAGCCAACTGGTTTTGCCTGTCCGAATGATGTGTTAGGATTAGATGTGCCAAACAATCCACCTCCAGTATTTCCCACCATTGAAGCATTTTGCTGGCCAAATAATCCTCCACTCGATCCTGGTGTAGCTGTTGGAGTTCCAAAGAGTGAAGTTCCACCAGTATTGAAACCTATAATATTATAGATACTTTTAATAAAACTTATGTTTGGATATATTAATTTTTATTTATAACCTCCAAAGGTTGGTTGGGCAGTAGGTGTTTGACCAAACGCAGGTGCAGCAGCATTGGCGCCAAACAACCCAGTATTAGGTTGGGTAGTTTGGTTAAACAGTGAAGTATTTGATTGTCCAAAAACTGCAGGTGTTGCAGGTTTACCAAAAGCTGATTGGCCAAAACCTGATGTGTTACCGGCACCCCCAGAAAATGCTCCTGATCCTGAACCTGGAAAAATAATTTTATAATATTCTATATACTTACCAATTACTTATACAAATCATTTTTTTTTTTTATAATGTACAATTATATTATTTTAGTATTAACATAGGTACATAGTAACTTAGTGAATATCTAAATAATAAAAATAATGAATTATTATATGCCTTTATAATAACTAGGAAAACAACTTACCAAACATTCTTACTTCTGATTTTACAGTCGTGATCTCATATTAAGGTCTATATAATTACTATTTTCTACATTTACAATAAATAAAGCAATAATAATTATCGTTTAAATCAATAAATTTTAATTAATATTGTGATAACTACAAAGCCAAAAGACCAAACAACAGATAATGGTAAAAACGTGAAACTAGTAACTCCAAAAAGAAGGAAAAATAACTGAAAACTTGATGAGAAATAATGCCATGCAATTGATAAAATGTGATAAGAGTTAAATACCAACATAATAAACACAAGCACAGTCTGCCATTTTGTGTTTAAACAAATGGCGGGATAATTTAATTTTATATCAACAACAATAATTTACGATTTAAATACTATATTATTTAATTTAAATAGTAAATACCTAATACCTATACTTATTTTTATAGCATGCAAAATGTTTGATTTATTTACAATTCATAGATTTTATAGGGTTTATATTTCTTGAATGATAAACAATTATAAATAACTCATAAAATCATAATATACTCTTTAGTTGCTACCACGACCATAGACATATTAATATGTCTTTACCACAGAAAGCAAAAGAGTCACTACGTAATGGAATTTATTAGAACTGTTCTAACGAACATTAAATTGAGACCTTAAGTACTGAGTACTGACTTCTTAATTACTTTTTAATAATCATAAATATAGCTTTATTTGTTGATATTATAGATGACCATAATTCTAGTTAAATGCATAATACAAATGCATAAATTAAATACAAACTTGTTTTGAACTTATATAATCGTAGTAAATAATAATCCCAGGTCTCGTAAAAAAAGATCTGGTAGTTTTTTTCTCTTCCGATCTTAATTTTCATTCTCACATCCAATAAATTAGATGTACGGCTTATAAGACTAGGATTCGTAAAGCGAATATTGTCTGACTTCAGACGTAAAGACTCTCTATTGTTCCTTAGTTCGTCCCCTGCTCGAGTATGGTTCAGTTTTGTGGGATCCTCACACAGCCTCCAACTCTGCCATAATCGAATGTGTTCAAAGGCGTTTTTTATCCTACGCAGGATATGTGTTGAATATCCCCCACCCATTACATGACTACTCACCAGTTCTCTGTGAGCTTGATCTTTTAACGCTAGCTGACAGAAAAGTTGCCTTTAATCTGAACTTTCTCAGAAACCTGATCGATGGTTCTACCGATGTGTATACGCTCCTATCCCTCATTAACTTTCCCATCCGTCCACGTTGGACCTGCTTCATCACCACTTTTGCTATTCTTATGCGCGCCACTAATTAAAACTTAAATAATCCGATCCACCGCTCGATGCGTCTTGCTAATATCCTTTTTTCGTTTTTACTATAACCTAGACATCTGGTTCCGTTTCACTTTCGCTAATTTACTGTTTGTATTTAAAATTTAATTTCCATTTATTATACAGCTATCTAATTAATATTTACTGTACTTTGAGCTTAGCCCGTATTTAATATAAAATGAAATAATATATAATAACCGTAAACCTATTAATACATATTTATAGGTCTATTTAATATAAAATAAGTATAGTGTTTACAATGTACCTACCCACTCCGTGAGGGTTACAATGAAGGTCTGCAAACATTATCTTAATAAAAATTATGGTCTTAAAATCTTAATAAATATATAATTTTGGATTCTAAGTGGAGCAAAGAAGAAGCTTATGGTTTTTACAAAGATGTTTATTTTTTAATTTTAATTTTATTTTTATTTGTGTGACACTTTTCTATGAGAAAATATTGCTCTGATCTTTGCACCTTTTCTGAAAAAAAAATTGGTATGAGGAGGTACTTTAGGAAGGTCATTTTCGATTTTCCCAGTTTTCCCATCAAATGTGAAAAACCGGGAAAAACGTAAGAAAAACGGTAAAATCGATACAACATTAAACAAAATATTATTAAAAAAAATATATAAAGCCTATATAATTATTTTACTATGACATATCTATCCTAAACTCCGCTCAGAATCTTTTTTGTTAGAAATGGTCTATCGTTACTTACAGGTACACATTAAATTACCTATCACAGTGGCTACACCCGACCTCTTAATCCTAGAATGTCATTTTCCCTCTCAATCATATTTCAATAAAATGGTTGCATTTAACTATTTACTATTTATGAACCTTTGAAAAAAGATCTTTTAAAATCACCAATATTTTGAATTATGTCGGTTATTTGTATTACAGAAATAAACATTATGTACTTTTATTACTAAAAATTATAAACAAAATAAGTTTATTTAGGAAACTTTTAAAAAAACTAGTAATAAATGGATTATTTTAACTAAATTACCATTATTCTACTATTATAGCGCCTATCTTTAGTCTCATCATTAGTGTCGACTACATATTATTCTTTTCAATCGCGAATACTATTAGAAAGTAATATAGAGAGGCTGTTCTGTGCGAGTTGATGTGCAAATGGTTTCTATTTTACAGTGCCATTACTTTTGGAAAAAAAAATATTGTAAAATATTTAATACGATGTGTTGCCTATACTTTAACATGTTACATAGGATTATATGGGAACACTGAGATAGATAAGAATATACTAGAGCGCAGACGCGCGCTTTTCGTTAACCCCCAATTCTGTATGACAAGAAATGCATGCTCAGTATATCCGATACCGTATATTTTAATATTCACAGATTTTGTTTTGTTTTGGGCAATTGAAACATAACATAATACATATTATTAATTATATAAAAGTAATTAAATGGTTAAGAACCAATGGTTTTGTAGTGCCCGGCCTTTGGATGTATCAACATTTGAAGCTTTAGACCTTTTTTTTGCTTGTGTGCGTTCTAGAGGTGGTTGTAACAATAGTCCTAATTGTGTTCAGTTCAAACATTTTGATGCAGCTATTTACAAAGAATATAACTGTTAACAGTGGCAACTGTTGTGATTTTGATGTAATTGAAAAAGACATTTTAGAATTCTGTTCTGATAAAGAAGTGTAACGAGTTTACAGGAAGAAATAACATTTGATGATAGTGAAATTCAAACATTTTTAGATCAACTTAACAATTTACAAGAGAATATATTAATGATATTTTAGATTATATTTCTGGATATATTAATCGAAGCATGATAACAAAATATATCCTGTACTTTTTGTATTGAAGCATTAACATAACATCAATCTGATCATATTTATGCAAAAAATTTACATCTTCTGTTAACAGAGGCAAACTGTTTATTGTTTCAAAAGTCATTTCTTAAATCATTCAATATTTAGAAAAAGCATTTCAAATTATTGTTGTGAAGAAAAAAGTATTATATAAAAATGTATCATTAAATATTTTTGATTGTGCTAAAAAAAGCATATTAGCCAAAAGTAATAATTTTTCTATTTACTGGATCCCATCCTATTTATAATGATTTTGGTGCTCTTAACCATAAGTATACCTTATTTAAAGAAATTAGTAAGAAGTTTATCTATCAATATAAGAATGTGTCACTTCCAAAAAGAATATAATATTTTTGAAGTACAGAAAAATAAATCTTTGTCAAGTGTTAAGGTATCTAAATTAGTATTATATTTTTGGTAAGTATAAATTTAAGTCCACATGGAAACAAAAGTTTTGGTACCAAAGTTGACGTAATATGACCATGTATTGTTGCTTACAGATATACATTAAATTACCTAAAATAGTAGCTGCACACTACCCCATTATCCTAAGATGTTATTTTAAACCTTTACTTCAAAAACATTCTTCAATGTTTTAATTTTTTTATTTATTATGAAATTTTTTTATTTATCTAATTAGTAATAGTAGGCAAGTAGAAATGTAAAATAATAATCCTGTACAAATATAACTATGGATTCGGTAAATCATATCTTAAAGGTCTCTATCAAATCATGAATCAATCATTTCTGGTAATAAAGATTCCATATAAAATTTTTTAAGATGAGATTCAATATTACTTTTCCAAATTTCTACATCACTTAATAATCTGTCAACTACAAGGCCTAAAAACAAAATATTTGTCTAGTATATATTTTATTGAAAGTACACTGTACAAAATATTAATTAGTTATAAGTATCTAGTCACGTTTAGGAGTCCACACTACAAAATAACACAAACTTCCTTGTATTATATTAAGTTGTTCTTGAACTTAGTAATAGTAAGCATTATTTTTATTCAGTTTTAGTTCTCAGTTTTTAAAAAGCATATATTTTAAATTTTTATTATTAACAGCTTCTTTCAGTGTAAATTCTTTAATAGATTGAAGACATTTAAAATTTAATGATTGTCATTGCCAATTAATCCATCAGGGCCAGCAGCTAAATCATTTTTTGTAGTATGTATAAATAAACTGATTCAATTGAAATATTAAATTTCTTTTCAAAATCTCTTTTGCCAATTGATTGATTTTCAATTCCATACCTAAATTGTGTATAAAAAATTAAATCAATATTATTATATTCATTCATATAACCTATGTTATGTTATTATTATTCAAACTGAGTGGCAGAATTTCCTTAATAAATACCATAAGGTATAATTTTCACAGTGTTTGCACGAGAAGTGCCTGCTTTCAATTTACATACTTTTCCAAAGTTGGAAGTTGTGAGACGTGATTTTCTATATTTTTGCCACTCATAATTATTTTGCTGTCCTTTGGTTTTTCTCTCCACTTCTTTGATTTCTTTGGCAGTTAGTTTTAACTTTATTAAAACATTTTTTTCTCCCTTTGAATATTCTCCATGGACATATCAGGTATCATTATTACTGCGCATCCTAATTCCTCAACAGCCTCACAATGCTCATCTGGTCCGTTAACAATTTTCGTACTTTTTGGATTTCTTTTGAAAGATTTAAATAATAATATTTCTTACGTTTGGCAATCCATTCTTTTAACCATCGTTTCCTATTAGTAATACGTTTACTTCGAATAGAAAACGTTAAAATAATTGCTACGCACGTTTTTCGACGATGATTTTCTTCCATTTTAAAATAAATTATTTTTAAATAAATAAAAACGTTGAAGTTTGCACCTTCACCAGTCGAATGCCAAACAGAGTATTGACGATAATCTATACTGACCGTGTTAATACACTGTCAATATTTATACTGTCAGTATTACTGATCGCGTAAGGCCCGCCCGCTTTAAAACTCGTTAATAACAGATTATTCATAAACATTAAATTTCAACATACTATAAATTTGCAAATTTTGTAATTA